TGTTGTGATTCAATGTTGTGCTTTGTGTGCATGTTTGCATAAACAAACGGTGAGAATACAACCTTTGTAAACAGTAACAAAATTTGACGTTAATCAGATTTCCTAGCTAACGCTAGTTAATTAATGTTATTTTGATAATTGCTAATTAGTCAAGCCAGTAATACATAATAACTGATTATAGTTTTAACTAATTAGTTGAAGATGTTAGTTAAAAATAATAAGACTAAACTAATTAGTTATAATCTTTAAAAAAAAAACGATGATAATAAGTCATGTTTTTGACTAAGCAGGACTCTGGGCTGATCCTTTCTGGATGTGTTTTAATTCATAGGTAAAAAAACTTTATAGTTGATCTTAGGCTAAGGGCAGTGTTATGCACCAGAGTATTGAATGGAACACCAGCCGGTTAGTTTCATACGCGAAACAACATTTCTCGATTTCGATTACAATTAAATTGAAACTAACTTTTTTCTATTACTGCTTCAAATTCCACAATCAGCTTAAACATGTTAGGTGCCTTCCAACTTATTATAATTAAGAACGACAAGCTCGCTATCGCTGTAACCAATCCATAAAAGCAATCCGAATATTCTTGCATCGTTTGTGCTTCGATTAGAAAGCCCATGAACGTCAATATAACTGATATCAGTGATACAAGAAATGCGGCCCAAAAATTGGCTCTTATCGAATGATTTTCCAATGCTTGAGGCTGATATACGCCCAAATGTTCAAACATTTTTCGTGTCGTTTGAAAAATTTTCATAATTTTGTTTCTGATTATTTTTGATCCAACTTGAATTTGAAATGATTGGAAAACGTTTCGGGGGTTTATTTTCTAGAAATATTTTGGAACTTCAATAGGTGTTGATACTATGAAATTTCTCTTAAATTCAATTTTCTTCAGTTTTTTGAAAACCAAAAATGAATTCAATGATTTTTGATTTTGTTATGACCGATTGAAATCACAAGTGTAAGATGGATCCCACAATATTTACAAAACGATTCCGTTAAATCAAGTAAATAAGGAACGAGTATAAGTTTATTATTTTGCGACCAAGTGCAATGAGATCGAGAACGTAACTGAAACCATTATAAAATTCATTATATTTGAATTGAGTTTCATTTACTGCTGTATAGTGGACACGTTTGCTTCAACACATTAACAATTTAAGCGTTTTTCATACCAGGTGGAGATACATCCAGATTTTAAAACTGCAATTACGTGACAAAAGTTTGTTCTAAATGGTTCTAGGGGCATTTGCAGATAAAATTGGATATTTCATATAAATGCAAAGAGAGCATATTGTATCTAAGTCAAGTATATGTTTCCATTCATACAACGATGTATAAAATCGTATATAAAACGAATTAAATGCCCCTTGAAATTGATAAATAAATTGTTATCGATTCATTTTGGATCTTATTGAAATGTGCTGTAGTAGTCAAGAAAAACAGAAACAAATGTTCGATAAAATACAGTTCTTCCGTGCACACCTGAAACAATAAAAAACTTCAGAAAATATAAACAACTGCTCTGCGGTTCCTTGAAGTCTCATACAAATCAATTGCAACAAGGATATTTTCACGTAGTCTGAACAACATATGCATTTTTTAATGTTTTGAATCTATTTTCATCGGCAAGAATCGTACGATGTTAAAGAATTGTCCAAACACGTATGTAAAATGATAGAGGTGACCTTTCGTTTCATTTGTACAAGAAAACATGGCGATATTCATAAAAGCGTCAATTAGAAATTAAATATGTTCCTTAATAACAATTTTCTTCCAACCTGGTCTCAAGGACGGTGTTAAACCTAAATATGGAAACCATCTATTGATTGAGGCACGTGCGGATGTGTTCAAAAGCAATAAAAATTCACATGCACTTAGTGCAATGCATCAAATTTGTAGCTATCAATCAGTACTTATATATATTCTTTTCTCAAATCTTTTGGATTGTATCGTGCAGTGTGGATCGAAGGTTAAAGTCAGTTTATTTTTAAATAAGCATTTAAAATGAGAACTAGGCGACCATCGTCAAAAAAAAGATTTATTTGAATGGATAAATGTTCACGAGTACAAATTGTTATTCATTAATTCATTTGTGAAGGCATGACTTTTGTAAATAGAGCAAGGGGCAAATCACTCTTAAAAAAGTAATTTTGAAATTAGTTCACAATTAGTTTGCAATTACTTTTTTCCCTGCAATTACCAATCTGTCAAAATTACTTTTCATATAAAAATAATTTTGACAGATTGGTAATTTGAGCGAAAAAAGTAATTGCAAACTAATTGTGAACTAATTTCAAAAATTACTTTTTAAGAGTGATTTCCCCCTTGAAATAGAGCAAAACAAATGAAGTAATCGCATATAAGGATCTGAATGTTCTTCTCGTGATATTTCATTAAAATTGATTATTATGATTTTATCATCCTAGATGTTGGATTTGGATCAAATTTTAGCCTAAGTTAAAAGATGCGTGCAATACAGAAATAAAAGTTGTTCCATTTCGTGCTTGATTAAATTTAATAATTAAGCACAGAGAAATTTCGATCTTATACTATTCGCAACATCAATTAATGAATTCAAATTTATATGGATTGCTGTAATTTGTATACTAGAATCTGGCAACACCACAATAATTACTTTTGATGTAGTTTCACTCAATGACACCGATGACAGCGCCAACACAACATTGTATAACTTAGACGCCAACGTCATTTCAAATACGAACGGTCGCAAATCAATGCAACAATATCTCAAAACATTCAGTTCAGACGTAAATACGAATATAAAATCCAATATTTTTGTTTTGCTAATGTTTATTGTGATAAAAGATGGCTGAACGAAGAAAGCTCACTTACAGCGCAAAAAAATCATTTTCTGCCAGGTTTGTACAGTGATATTTTGTACAATTTTTATGTTGTTTAGAACAAAATGTAGTTTGTCTTTTTTTATGGAAATGTGTTTATGTGAGATGGCAATGAAGCTCTTGTGCAAACTATTGAAAGTGCATGTTGTGTTGCAAAACAAAACGAAATAATTTTCGATTATCTGAAATTTTCTTTAAAAAAACTACTCATCGAATCATTCAGTTTGTTGTCATTTGAATTAATCTTCATTCTTTAATTATATTTTTCTCCTCTTTTTTCAACAGAAAGAGTAATTTGCCGATGTCAACGAATCGTTCGTCTAATGTTCTTCAAACACGACCATCAAATATATCCCGACCATCATCTGGTGGTCATCGACTGGGAGTCACATTGAGCGCATCTCGACCATCAAGCGGGACCCGGCCGTCAAGTGTGACCCGGCCGTCTAGTGCCACACGGATAGCACGTGATACAGCTATACGTTCATCTGGTGGCTTACGTCGATATGGTAGTGATAATTATTTGAATACACCGAGTCGTTTCACATTATCCACACCGTTGCATGGTCGTTCGCCGGGTGTACGACGTTCAATAATGCCGCCAGATAGTTCACGAAAATCAAAACATGAAAACATACTGAAAGTACAAGAGATTCTGCAGCAGGATGAAGCATTCTTTGCTGATTTGAATCTCAGAAATGGTGGCTTGAAATCGATGACCATCAATCAATTTCACATGATCATGGATCATTTTGTTTATTTGATTACTGGAAAAGATTTGAAAACATTCACACCGAATACCAACAATGATATGAATAAGAAACCCGATGAAAAACGCATCACCGCCGAAGGTATTTTAAATTTTTTGGAACAAGTACAGTATCCGTTCACAGTAAACAAATCAGTGTTAAAAACACCAAATGCACCGCACACATTTGATCAAATTGTAATGATGTTGCTATGGTTGGGTGATATTAGTAGTATATCCAACATTGCCGCTGATGACGCACTTATCCATCAGTCTTTATTGACGCGAGATGAACAGTTTCCAAATGAAGAATACACCGCAACCTTTTCGAAGGCGATGCAAAACGGTTATCTGTTATGGGACAAAGATAACGATGAGCATGATATTCTCATCAAACGTCTGACAGATGGTTTAATTGCCGCCAAATTAGATAATAAAGTGACTTCAGAAGCGGATCTGCAAGCATTAACTGAAAAGTTGAAAATCAAATCCAAAGAATTTGTTGATAATCCAGTTCAATTGAATAACATCCATCAATTTGAGCAATTGGAATCTAAATATCTCGAATATGAAACAAAGGAACATGATTTAATGAATCAACTTAGAGATAAACGTGATCGGTTGGCCGCTGTTAATGTACTTTGGAATGATAAACGTGCCAAAATGCAGCAAACTCAAACACAAATCCAAGCACTTGCCATTCAAATTCAGCAACAAAAGTACAACATCAATGATTACAAGAAGTTGATCGAACAGATGACATTATTGAAAGCAGAGGTTTCTGCACTTGAAAACGAGAAACGGCTTGTTCAAGATGAGGAATCTAATCAATTGATCAAACATGCACGACTTGTAAAAAATGTTTCCAAAGCAATCACTGATATCAACAATCGCGGCATGCAAATCATAAAAGTGCTTAATAATTCACGAGAATTCGCTGACTGTTATGGCGATCGTGAACTGAATAAATTACATTTGCCGGCAACGCCATCATTGAAGCAAGTCGAACAGGTTAATCAAATTTTCTCGCAAATTTACAGCGCGGTTGAAGTTCAAAAGTACGAACTAAAATTGGAACTCGATCAAGCCATCAATAAATTAAATGTTCTCAAAGCGGAATCGACTGCATTGGCCAAAGAACTTCAAAATTCCCGTGAAAAGTATGATAAACTCACAGATGACTACAAAATATTGGAGAAAAAGGCTGCGATGAAAAACCGAAAGAATGACAATTCGACACGGGACTTGTGTAAGCAAGCCGATGATGCAAAAGCAAAACTTCAATCGTTGAAAGATGAAATTGTTGCAGCACGCGTAAAAGAAACGGAGCTTGCAAAGGAAAACGCCAAACTTATGGCAGACGGTGAAGCACAGGCGAGAATAATTATCGAAGAAAAAGAACGTCTGGCCGATCATTTGGATGACATTGATAGAATGCTCGATGCAAAGTTAGAAGGTCTTGATTATCCGAAATGAGTACAAATCATATTTGATCTGATATTGCCATTGTATGGCTTCGTTGATTTTGTTGTAGTTCGCATAAATATTTATTTAATATCAAATCTTTGAAATGGTTCGTTATCGAAATGATAATTGCAGTTCGTTCTTTTAAAAAAGTATTCATTTAACTTTATCAAAATAAATAAAATCACATCACAATCATTCAAACATTTATTTGTGTTTACAATTATTTCTATTCAATATTTGAATATGCTCTGAAGAAATGTTTGGTTGCATACATCATTTGCCATAGTGAAATGAAAATGAAAACAGACGCATCAATGGTAACTAAAACTTGATAAACTGAATTATTTAATGCAATATTTTTGATCTGAAAAAAATCAACAGACAATACTAATATATTCCTTCAAATTAGTTTCTCATACTGACACCGCTCACAGCGCCACAAACACACTGTTTCACGCATCAAACGTCAAAGTCATTTCAAATACAAACGGTCGAAAAGCAAGCGACAGCATCAATATTACAAACCAAAATATGTAAACAAAGTACAATATTTCTATTAGGAAGCGGTATTCATTGAAGAAAAAGATGTTTGAACGAAGAAAACTCACATACAGCGCAAGAAAATCGACTTGCCCAAGGTATTTTTTTTATTCATATTTTACCCGATTTTGTGTGTTTTTTCTCAAACAAAGTGTTGTTCATTTACTATTGGAAATGTGTTTGTTTATCCAAGACTTTCAAAGACAATGAACTCTAGTGTGAACTCTTGAAAATGAATGGTGTTCAAATAGACAAAGATATAATTTCAAAAGTGAAACTTCACTGAGAGAACTGACCCATTGATAAATTAAATATGATTTTTTTATTTGTTTTCTTTTGAATGGCTCACATTATGTTCCAATTTATCTTCAACAGAAAAAGTAATTTGCCGATATCAACGAATCGTTTATCAAACGTTCTGCAAACAACAAATCTTACACGACAATCAAATGTATCCCGACCATCATCTGGTGGCCATCGACTGGCAGCTCAATTCAGCTCAACTCGGTCATCAAGTGCCACACGACTCTCAAGCAATACAGCTGGACCTTCATTTGGTGGTTTACGTCGATATGGTAGTGATAATTATTTGAATACACCGAGTCGTTTCACATTATCGACACCGTTACGTGGTCGTTCGCCGGGTGTACGTCGTTCGATAATGCCGCCAGACAGTTCACGAAAATCAAAACATGGAAACATACTGAAAGTTCAAGAAATTCTGCAACAGGATGGATCATTCTTTGGTGATTTGAATCTCAAAAATGGTGACTTGAAATCGATGACCATCAATCAATTTCACATGATCATGGATCATTTTATTCGTTTAATTTGCGGCAAAAAATTGGTTTCATTTATCAAAAAAGATGATCCGAATCCGATTGCTGGCATTTTAAATTTTTTGGAGCAAGTACAGTATCCGTTCACAGTCAACAAATCAATGTTAAAAACACCAAATGCACCGCACACATTTGACCAAATTGTCACTATGTTGCTGTGGCTTGCAGATATTAGCAGTGTTTCAACTATTGCTGCCGATGACACACTTATCCATCAGTCTTTATTGACGCGAGATGAACAGTTACCAAATGAAGAATACACCGCAACCTTTTCGAAGGCGATGCAAAACGGTTATAAGTTATGGGACAAAGATAACGATGAGCATGATATTCTTATCAAACGTCTTACAGATGGTTTAATCACCGCCAAATTGGATAACAAAGTGGCTTCAGAAGCGGAACTGCAAGCATTAACTGAAAAGTTGAAAATCAAATCCAAAGAATTACTTGATAATCCAGTTCAATTGAATAACATCGATCAATTTGAACAATTGGAATCCAAGTATCTCGAATATGAAACAAAGGAACATGATTTAATGAATCAACTTAGAGATAAACGTGATCGGTTGGCCGCTGTTAATGTACTTTGGAATGATAAACGTGCCAAAATGCAGCAAACTCAAACACAAATCCAAGCACTTGCCATTCAAATTCAGCAACAAAAGTACAACATCAATGATTACAAGAAGTTGATCGAACAAGTTTCAGTATTGAAAGAAGCGCTTTCTTCACTTGAAAATGAGAAACGGCATGTTCAAGACGAGGAATCTAATCAATTGATCGAACATGCACGACTTGTAAAAGATATTTCCAAAGCAATCACTGATATCAACAATCGCGGCATGCAAATCATAAAAGTGCTCAACAATGCACGGAAATTCGCTGACTGTTTTGGCGATCGGGAACTGCATAAATTACATTTGCCGGCAACGCCATCATTGAAGCAAGTCCAACAGGTCAATCAAATTCTCTCGCAAATTTACAACGTAGTCGAAGCTCAAAAGTACGAACTAAAATTGGAACTCGATCAAGCCATCAATAAATTGAATGTTCTCAAAGCGGAATCGACTGCATTGACCAAAGAATTCGAGAGTGTACAGAAAAATTATGAGATTCTATCAAATGAGTATAAAACATTGGAGAAAAAATCTTTGGTGAAAGGCAGAAAAAACGAAAATTCTGTTCGGGACTTGTCCAAGCAAGCTGAGGACACAAAAGAAAAACTGCTGTCATTGAAAGAGAAACTTATGGTGGCACACGCAAAGGAAAAAAAGTTGGAAGAGAAAAACGCCAGACTTCTGACAGATGGCGAAACACACGCGATGAAAATTATTGTTGAAAAACAACGTTTGACTGATCAGTTGGATGACATTGATAGAATGCTCGATGCAAAGTTAGAGGGTCTGAGATATTTATCGCAGAGTTGAAATCACCTCATGGAGGTATGAGAAAATTTGGATGAAATAAGATGTGTTTAAATATTAATATTCGTTTTTGGTGGTCGCCCAAAAAAAATGTTCGCATTTATATTAGATGTTTCGTGTTTACAAATCATTTGCAATACGTATATAAGTTAAATGAATTAAATATATATATTATTTACAACTTTTTATAAATGATGTAAGAAATATACATTGGACAAATTTGAAATAAATATAACTGCTGAAATTATTGTGTGAAATAATAAATAGTGTTCATAGTTCAATATGAAAATCCATGTTGAAAGAAAATTCAATAATTTTGATTTTGGTATTTATTTTAAAATCTTTATCGGAATGATTTATTGTTAATATTTGCTTAAATTTGTATTTTTGATTCTTTCATATTTAAATCTAGCTTTTGTTCTTAGCTATTAATTTACCAGAAGATATCATATTATTCATAATTATAAACATACATATAACATTCTCATTTTATTGTTACCGGACTAAAAAAACACATTAAAAAAGGAAGCAAGAGAGAATTGCAAATTATTTGTTGATGGGGACATTTTCATTGTTCGATGCATTTACTAGCTTATTCAGTCTTTCAATTTCTACTCTACGATTGTCGCATATACTCTTTGCCATTTCATATTTTCGTTTATATCGAGCCAGATCTTCTGTAGTTTCTTTGAAACTGGCCAGATTTTCTTTCATGGTTTCGAGCTGCGATTTCATATCCAATTCATTCTTTTCAAAACTGGCAATTTGCTTTTTGAATTCTTCAATCTCGTCCCAACGATGATTGCAAATGCGTTTCATGTTTGTGTATTTCGGTTGAATTTCTTCCAATAATTTAGCTGTCTCGATGCATTTGCTTGACTTTTGGTCAAGTTCGATTTTCATATTTTCATATTTGACTTTGAGTGAATTGTAAGTGGTTACAGCTTCTTCGTAGCCTTTTTTATATTTTTCAGCTCTTCTATTAACACGTTCAAAGTCAATTTGATCAATAAATGTTGGATTTGTTTTCGATACGTCAGTCTGTATGGCAGCATCCGATAATGATGGTTTGTACAAAGCGATAGCGTTTTTAACCTTCAATTTTTCGTGTTTATCGCATAGATTTTCATAGTCGATATTAATTCGGCTCAATTTTCCTTTGGTTGCTGATAGTTCGGCCTTTAGTGTTTTCACTTCGGCTTGTAATTCATCGACGCCCGTACTGAGACGGAATGTTGCGTATTTTGCTTCGATAATGACCAATTCTTGCTTCAGTTTTGTTATCTGCGAAAAAGAGAAAAAATACGAAAAAATTAGAAAAATGTGTCATAAAAATGTGGGAATAATTTGAATTAAACGTGATTACTTGTTTAGCCATATCGCCGCAGGCACATTTCTCGTCGACTGCATCCGTTTGCGTGCCATAATCAATCATTGTCGAATCAAAACCAGAAATACGTCGTGTATCATCGTGAATGCTTTGACGTTTTATCTTTCGTACCGTACTTGTGGACTTTCTGAATTCGGCCACCTCATTTTCGAGCACCGCTTGCATTGATTTCAATGTTCGATTTTCTTTCAATAAACTCTCAACGTCTACATCACGATTATCACGACGCCTTGGACTTTGTGTTTGCCATGCATCTGAATGGGTGCCAGCCAATGTTGCATGTCGTTTACCTTTAACAGCATTCATTTCTTCGACCAATTTTTGCTTTTCAAATTCAAGTTTCTCCTTTGATTGTTTCATGGCAGCCAGTTTACTTTGAACACCGTTCATCTCTTCTGTGTGATCACTGACTTGATTTTGAAGTTTTTTATTCAGTTTCTCTAGACATTCTTGTTCTTCTTCGAGCACATTGATTTGATGCTGAAGATCATTTATTCTCGTTTGATTTTGTTGTTTCAAACGCTCATAGTTGGCAATGATTTCTTTCAGCTCAACAATTTCCTTTGACGCTTGCATTGACTCTTTTTCCTTCAGCGCCACTTGGTCGTTCAGCGTACTTTGAATTTTATTGAATTCATCTTGAGTTTGCTTTTTGGCTTGCTCATGCTCAGCAATAACTTCTTGCAATTCCGCAATTTTGCGTTCGGTTTTGTTCAATTTCTCCAGAGTTTCCGTCTTTAAAAGTTCATACTGGTCGGCGACTGTTTTGAGCTGTGTAATCTCTTCCAATGAAGCCTTTAGTTCAGCATCTTTTTGTACAAGCTTATCATTCAATTCACGTTGAATTTTATCGAATTCCTCTTTAATATTGCGCACTGAATGTTCCGAATTGGCAATAGACGCTTTAAGGTCAGAGATTTCCTTTGTTGCACCATCTAAATCCTTCTCCTGTAACGCAAGCTGGTTTTTGAGTTCACTTTCAATTTTGTTCAGTTCAACTTGATGTTGCTTTTCCGATAGCTCATGATTGGCAATAACTTCTTGAAGTTCGGTGATTTTCCGTTCGTTTTTCTGCAGTTTATCAAGTGTTTCGTTTTTCAAGCGCTCATATTGATCTGCGACCGCTTTGAGCTGAGCGATTTCTTCCATTGAACTCATTAGCTGGGCATCTTTGTCCGTCAATTCATGCTGGATTTCAGAGATTTCACTTGTCATTTTCTCTTTCAGTGTGGCTTGATCATCAATTTTACGAAGAATTTGATTCATTTCTTCTTCATTTTGAATTTTGGCTCGCTCATGACTGGCAATTACTTCTTGCAGTTCGGTGATTTTGCTTTCGTTCTTATGCAATTTCTCTAAAGTTTCATTTTTAAGGCGTTCATATTGATCGGCAACGGTTTTGAGCTGAACGATGTCATTCATCGCATTCTTCAGTTCAACATCTTTTAGAGCGAGCATATCGGCCAATTCACGTTGGCCTTTTTCGAATTCGACCTGGTTATTGGAATTCAAATTTTCGGAACTGGCAATGACCGCTTTAAGTTCAGAGATTTCGTTTAATGCACGATCAAAACCCTTCACCATAAGAGCCAACTGATTGTTAAGTCCCCATTCAATTGTGCACTGTTCATCTTGATTTTGTTTCGAGGAATTCTCATGATTGGCGATTGCTTCTTGTAATCCGGTGATTTTGCACTCGTTTTTATGCAGTTTCTCTAGAGTTTCGTTTTTCATCTGTTCATATTGATGAACGACCGATTTTAGCTGGACGATCTCATCCGTAGCATTCTTTAGTTCAGCCTCTTTTGTGGTGAGCTTATCATCCAAATCACGTTTCATCTGATCGAATACCACTTGAGCAGTACTGTTCGTATTTTCAGAGTTTGCGATGACTATTTTGAGGTCAGCAATTTCGTTTGATACACGATCCAAATCCTTCTCTGTTCGCGTAAGCTCATTCTTTAAACTGCATATGAGCTGTTCGTTTTTGTCTTTGGCATCTTCTAATAGATTGCACTTTACTTTGAGGTCTCTGTGAAATTCGAACAAACAAATGAAATGATATTGGTTGATATTTGATTTAAAATGACGTAAATTAAAAAAATAAATAAATAAACGCTCACTTTAATTCGTTAAAACTGGCGATAAATTTATCAAGCAGTTTGTCGTCGAATGGATGTTCCTCAATTGACGATGATATATCTGGTTCAACGGTGCTTGAAATTCGCTTTAGAATCAATTTAATTCGTGCGGCGTATTTGTCTCGCTCCTCGTTGGCTGATTTCAACTGAATTGTAAAATCGTTATTTATCGATTCGTCTTGTTTTTTAGAATCGTTCATAACAGACATTCGACTATTACTAAAGCGTCCAGATCTTCTCTTACTGATGTTAACCTGAGGCGTATTGCATATTGATGTTGAATTTCCCATTGAAATCGTTTCTGTATCATCGTTAAACACACTGAAATTAATCGTATCATCAAATTCGCTTATTGTTTTCTGTAATTTCAAGTGTTCAATCTCTTGTTCGTAGGTTTTCAATTTCAGATCGTTGTATCCGGTGCGTAAAACATCCATTTCCTTCATGATGCAATCAACGGTCATACGTGCCTGATTCCAAGCATTCTCGAGCATATTGTTCGAATGCTCCAAATTTCTACAATAGGCCAATAAATCATCATGCTCAATTTTTACGTCCAAAATTTCTCTCTTTTGCTCTTCAATGTCAACTTCAAACTCTTTAACTGCTACTGTTTGCTTTTCTGTTAAACCATTGACTTCTTCACGATGACTATCGGCTAATGTTCTTAGTTCTGTCGAGTGATTATCGATGGTTTGCTTCAAATGTTCAATTTCGGTCGTCAGAGAGCTCTTGATTTGTTCATGAGATTGCAATTCAATTTGATAATTTTCTTCTAACTTTTGTATCTCGTTGGCATGAGCTTGAATTAGCGTCTTGAGTTTAGCTTCTGAATCGGCATTGTTGACAGCAAGCGTTGAGGCCAATTCGGATTTGACTTTTAACTCTTCGATTTCTTTGTTCAGGTCATCACATTTTCCCTTGAGATGATCATTCTCTTCAATCATGTCCACCAACTGCGATGAAGTGACATCGTATTCACTTTGAAGAGTTTTGAATTTGTTCGCTTGTATTTCGGCACGATCAATGGTCTCTTGAGCTTCAGTAAGTTTTTCAGTCAGCTTTGCATTCATATTTTCCAATTCATCTTTATGATTTTGATCATCTTGCCACAATTGAGTTTCCAATGACTTAACCTTTTCCGTCATGGTAGCCAATTTTTGTTTAAGTACTTTCATTGAGTCATCATTGCCAACTTGCTCAAGCTGCTCAACCAATTCCTTTTCTCGGCGTTTAGCACGATTTTGATGTTCTTCGTACTCGTATTCAATGCTTGCTTTCACCTGTTCGGCCAAGTTCTTTGCTTTAACGGCCGACTCCATTTCAGTTTTGGCTTCTTTTGCTTCACGTTCGGCCACAACCAATCGGCTTTCAATGTCACTTATTTTTTGACGCGTTTCATTTAGCTGTGCACTCAATGCGGTGATCTCAATTGATTTTTCCTTGATGTCTGTTCGTCTGAAAGAAATAAGTGCCATTTTTTAAAAACTTTCTATACGAAAAATATATCGATTGTAAAATACGTACAATTCTATTGATTCTGTTTGATGGAAATGTCGAGCCTGTTCCAATTCATCTTCGAGCATGCGAATGCGTTTTTCTTTGTCCAATGCAATTGGGCTGGCAACCGATGAATGCGATTCGGTTTCTAAAATTGATATCAACTATTAGTTTTCATTTCAAAGATAAAAAGATTTAAAATCAGCATACCATTCGTTTTTCCCATGATTTCTTTGAGTGATTTAGGTGTTTTGAGCAATGACCGTCGGGCAGAATGATGTGGTTGTTGTGGTGTTTTCACCGATCTATCATCCGATTCGACGGATTTTTTCAATTCGGGACGACTGGGAAATTTGTATAATGCTGAATCCGATTCATCTTCATCGATATCGACATAAGGCATTCCGAGCGTTTCATTCAATAGGGTGCCCCAGTCTGCATCGGTGCATTCAACTTCACGGCCCATATCACCAAATCTCATGTTACAAACCGCCCTGCTTTCGGCTGCATTTTCAACTATCCTTGGCAATGGCGATTGTGATAGAGTTGGCGGTGGCATGGTGTTTGGTGGGCATGTCCTGCGACGTTGTAATGCAACCACATTCTTTGGCTTCTTTGTTCCTCCAATTATAATTTTTTTCAGCATGTTCAATTCTTGTTCTTTCTTTTGATATTCGGCAATCTCCTTCAATTTCTCTCCTAGCTGAGCTTCGAGCTGAATGATTAATTTTTTCGCTCGTTTCACTTCTACCGCATCACTCACCGTCTCATTGATTACTGGTTTATTTTCGATTTTCTTGGCTCGTGTGGCAAATCTATAGCAAATAAATTGATAATTAAGGCCAATTCAATTGGCATTGATATGCATTTTGACTTACCCAAGTGTAAGATTCGTTTCTTCCAGCGCAGCTGATGTTATATTACAAATCATTATCGTCATCGCATTACCACCGAGTGACGTTGCCAATATCCGTGTCAGTTTTGAATCACGGTAACCAATGTGCGTTCTTACTTCTGGATCTTCACCTAGCTTATTGATAACTATGCTGAGTGTTAGAAGACTTTTATTGATATTGCCAGCTTCTTTAAGTCGTTCACCGGTCGCACCAGTTGAGTCTGCTCTTTCACTACCGGCCAAGTCCACCAAATTCAATACGCTTACTTGTGATGCACCATCACAATCCAAAACCGATTCAATACCCTGAAAATTTTGTTTTTTACACAATTTGGTATGTAATTAATGTATAATGCGAATAAAAACTATCGTATTTTATTCGTTACTTACAATTTGCAAAATTGCATGCGAACGACTGGACTGCACGTTCATATTTGTTTCGGCAACTTTTCGATGATTATTTCCATTGTCGACCCATTTTAAAATCTCATCTTCAGTTGTGACATTTTTTCCGGTGCATCCAAACTTCAATTCACCATTAGCGAACTCTTGAATTTTTATTTCTCTTCTATCGTCCAACAAATCATACACTTTTTCGTTGTAAATCTCGAGATAATTAACTCTGGAAATAAAGACGACAGACAAAAATAAATTAGTTTATTGCAATCCTTGAATTACGTTGAAAAAGTAATGCATCAAAATAGTTGGCCGGAATTATAGAAAGCCAGAGCTTGTTGAATGTTTTGTACTTGCAATTTTTTTCCCCACAAAACGAATACTTACTTGACAATGAATGACCGTTCACTGTGTTGCATGATCTCGTCGAATATATGTCGAGCCGCCAATCGAATGATTCCAACATTTTTCTTGTCACCGACCATAGTGTATGTTTTGCCTAAAAACAAGACACACATATGCACATTTAGCGAAATACAAACCAATTGAATTGGTGTTTCTATACATACCCGATGACGTTTGACCATATGCAAATATGGTGCCATTAAAACCTTTCACTGACTTCTCGACAATCGGTTTGGCCACTTGGTCGAATAACTCTTGTGTTGTTGAATTCTCATCGTAAATATGATCTGTACAAAAGGCACATAGAAATGAGGTTAACATTTACACGGAACCAATCAATCAATAATGGAAAAAATGGACAAAAATACTGGAGAAAATTGAAATGTCTTTTGTCTTCAAAGCAATGCAAACATACCGAATGTGTACCGTTGATTTGGCAGAAGTGGATTGACACACTCAATAGTATTTCCTTCAATTTTCCACTGACTTGTCTGACTTTTGTCTCGTTCGCGTTTGATTAAAGGTCGTGATTTGATGACCACTTTAAAATTGTCTCGATTGTCGACGTTTGCCATTTTCTAAAATAGACTCATTCTAACATCGATAACAATGAAATATCCAAAAATATGTCTGTTTGTTCAAATATAGTTTAAAATTATACACGGAATACACGAGAACAACATTTACACACGCCGCAAATATGTTAAAATCACTTAATAAACTAAATACGCAACGCAATAATGCAAATGGGAAAATTGCGAAATAGAAGAAAAAATGCGTTGTGTATTGTTGAACAAACGGCGGCTTGGAATGGAATGTCGACTGGTAATTTTTCAAAAATCTGTACTAAGACAGATGAAACGAAATTGTTTTTCAAGCAGAGTTTATGATATTCTGTCACTTGCATACGCACACACCCCATAAGCAAATGGCAAAGAGTGAGAATGAGACGACTGCTGTGTGTGTGCTAACGCACCATAGACATTATTTGTTCAGCGCAGGGTTGGGCGCATTGTTCTAAACTGCTACAATTGCTTGTTCGAATGTGAAATGCATCAGGGTTGTCGCATTTGTCAAATAAGAAATGGCACTTTCATATTGCCAACAATTTTGTTTTTCCAAATATACATTATTTATTTGACCCATTAAAATTTTAAACATTTATTTTGCATTCCGCAATGTATCAATTTCGGTTTGAATATTTTCAATTTGATTGTATAGGTCTAATAATTCGGCATGATTCATTTCAAAATTGATCGGTTCGCCACTTTGACTGTTTACATTGTCCACTGATGTATGTAATTGCAGTTGAGCGATCGGTATTTTCTCTTTTTGCTGTGGTTCCGATGATAATTGCAATTTTAATTTCCACCCAATGTGCTCCAGCTGATTCGATTGACCTGGTTCGTCTTTATTTTCCAAATTATCGAGAATCGGTTTCATATTTTTTATCCACAGTTTCATAATAACATCGATTTTACTGTCTTGTAATTGAAGTTTTTCCTTCAGTTCAGATTGTAACTTTGTTGGCTTCATTATGAACGTCGACGTACGTTTCAGAATGTATGACAATGTTTTGATTAACAGCAGAAAATCGGCTCTTTCAATATTCACAAGTTTCTCAAGCCTGAAACCGAATACAAAAAGATGTATTTTGTCATTGAAAACAATGGTTTTTTGTATGCATAAAATTAAATCTCAATACTTTTCTAAGCCATCATCTTCGGTGTCAGCATTTGCATTTTCGCCGGATAAAGACATGTTTTTGTGCACATATTTGATCACCGTTGTGAATGTATCATCATTAAGCTGATTAATGATTTTTATACCATCAGCCGCCCTAAAATCACAAAATCAATAATGTCAGCAAATTTGACTCAATTTTTGTAAATTAAAAACAAAACAATAATCAGCACCGTTCAGTGATTTTGATCCAATTTAAATACATGTTTTCTTCAACACAATGTTTTTGCTCTGTTTCCTCTGTTCACTTCTATAATTCGTTTACTTTGTTTCTGTTATGTTGACAGAAAAGAAAAAAACTCCATCAAACAAAAACTAAACTGCTATAAAATAGCAACCAAACAAATGCGTTCATTTTGACAGATAAATCAATGTACGCGCTGTGTGTCAAGCCATTGGCGTAAGTCAAACAGAGAACACTGAAAACCGACTACACTACACATATTTGCGGAATATTTGAGTAATTTTCAATTTGTTTTTTGGGAAATTGTGATTTTGTTTAATTTTACAAGCAAGTGAAAATGAATCGACGACGTGCACATGGAGATGACGATCCATACGGTAATTATAATTGGAATAAAAATCATTAAAAAAAATCATATCAAACATAACCTCATTAAACAAAAGAAAATTTTCACAATTTCTTTATCGATTTGTGTATTTTTTAGATCGTCAAAATCGTAAACGACGCCGTGTGTCCGAGAATCAAGAGATTGAAGATCGTTTGGAGTCGTTGATTTTACGTGTTGGCGAAAAAAGTACGTCAACATTGGAATCGAATTTGGAGGGTTTGGTTTCCGTGCTGGAAGCCGATTTGGGAACATTCCGCATGAAAATTTTGCGCATTTTATCGGAATGTGCGATTCGTATGCCCGAAAAGTGTACCATCTACACGACATTGGTTGGCTTGTTGAATGCGAAAAACTACAATTTTGGCGGTGAATTTGTCGATCATATGGTGAAAACATTCAAAGACAGTTTGAAAGGATGTAAATGGGAACCAGCACGCTATGCGCTTCGATTTTTAGCCGATTTGGTGAATTGTCATGTAATTTCGGCTTCGTCATTGCTACAATTGCTCGACACAATGATCGATGTATCGAACGAAGATACGGTGCCACAGGTACGACGTGATTGGTATGTATTTGCCGTTTTGTCAACATTACCATGGGTTGGCCGTGATTTGTACGAGAAGAAGGAATCGGCATTGGAAAATCTATTGGTTCGCATCGAAGTGTTTCTGAACAAACGTACGAAGAAACATCATAATGCGTTACGAGTGTGGTCAGTGGACGCACCACATCCACAAGAAGAATATTTGGATTGTCTTTGGGCACAAATTCGTAAATTGCGTCAAGACAATTGGGCCGAAAAGCATATCGTTCGTCCGTATTTGGCATTCGATTCGATTTTATGCGAAGCATTGCAACATAATTTGCCAGCAATAAATCCACCACCGCATAGCGATAGCTACATTTATCCAATGCCATGGGTAGTTTATCGCATGTTCGATTACACTGATTGTCCGGACGGACCAATTTTGCCAGGGGCACATTCAATCGAACGTTTCTTGATCGAAGAGCATTTGCATCACATCATCGAAACACATCATATGGAACGAAAGGATTGTGCTGCACATTTGCTGAATTTCCCATACAAGAGCAAAATTCCACTCGAATACTGTATCGTTGAAGTGATTTTCTCCGAATTGTTTCACATGCCGACACCACGATATCTTGAAATTTGCTACGGCTCCATTTTGATTGAATTGTGTAAATTGCAACCGTCAACATTGCCACAGGTGTTGGCACAAGCCACCGAAATTTTGTTCATGCGAATCGATTCGATGAACACATCGTGCTTTGATCGATTTGTCAATTGGTTTTCATACCATTTGAGCAACTTCCAATTAAGATGGTCATGGGACGACTGGGATAGCTGCTTGTTACGCGAACCAGAGCATCCACGGCCAAAATTCATTCAAGAAGTTCTACAAAAGTGTCTAAGGTATGTGGATTTTTAAATTTATTTGAAGTATGCGAAAGGTGAATGTAATTTATTTCGATTTTTTATTGGATAGATTATCGTATCACCAACGAATCAAAGAAATGATGCCACAAACTTACGAGAAACTGATACCAGAACCACCGGCACCATCATACAAATACACATCGGAAGATGCAGGTATGAACTCACATTTTTTTACTCTTCTTTGTCTTCTTTTTACTATATTGTTGTCGGAAGAAATTTTTTCAAATGAAACAGACAACGCACAACGATAGGGTTTAAAATAATAAATTACCTTTATTTAACTATTTTACGTGCTTAAAAATACGAAATGAAACCATTCCCTTAGAACGAATCGAAAAAATAATCAAAAATTAACACGAAAAATCGGTTCGAATCGCCTTACTGTTCTAATGATTGTGCAGTGGTGGATGAATTGTCAGCTATATTTTTCTCAACTTTTCTTACTCGTGCGACACGACGCAGTTTGAGATTTTCTCCATGTTTACTGCTATTTTGCACCATTTTTGTTGATTTCTTTGGCATTACCGTAACTTTTTCTGCAATGTGTACGCTCACCGATTTCCGAACACTTTGTGTTGTTCTCGGTTGTTCTTCAATTTTCGGCACATGTGTTGTTGAAGCTGTTACCCTCTCACTACTTTCATCGTTAAATTCCTGAGTTACACTTGTTGGTGCAGCAGCCGTTGTTGTCGTTACTTTACGTAATGTGAGTTTTCTTCGATTGGCATGTGATGGTGGTATTTTCTCTGGTCTTTTCACCAGTTCACTGTTCGTTTTATACTTATCTGAATTTCTCAATCGTGGCCGTTTTGGCGTCCATGACGGTTTTTCAGTGGTGCTTGTATTCTTTGAATTTTTGTATCGGTTTTGTGTCGATTTTTTCGTAGTTTTCTGCACAATATTCTCAATGCTTGGTTTTCCAAACGATAAACTGTCATCATTGTCATCATCACTGTCGTCGCCACTCTCTTCGCTAATAATCACTTTGATTTTTTCGTTGTGTTTTCGATTTGATTTTTTTCTCGGTGTCGATTCATCAACATATGGAATACGAGTATCGGCGCCAGAATCAGGTGGCGGCAATTGAGCATTTATTGAATCGGGAAATGGTTTACTCTTATCCTCTGACTGTGAACTATCAACTTGTGTTGTTGTCACAAAATTGTATGGCGTTGTAAAACTGGGATCGGTATTTGTCGAAGTGGTTTGATGCACTTCCATTGGAATATCATATGATGAAAAGCCATCGCCTTCAGTTTGCAATGGTAATTGTGATACAAACCCAGCGTCCGCATCATGAATATCACCATCGATTCCACCAGGAACACTTGACGATGGTATGTCCGATGGTGTTGCTAATGGGCCATGATAAATTGGATCTAATTCCGAATAAATGTCGTCTCGATAAGGATAACTACCTACAAAATTGAAATTCTGTTGATGCGGATGCTGTCCAAACCAATACGAATGTTGATAATTTTGATTTAATTCTGCCGGCTGAATGCCATTTGTATGCGTATACTGCTTATTATAATGAGTTTGAATTGATGGTGCCGGCGATCTATTCAAATTTATCGCATATGTTGATGGAGTCGAGGTTATGTCAATGACATGGGTATGCCTAACTGGGAATTGAATCAATTGATTTCGATTTGAATGATGCACAAAATTATCCCGTTTAACTTCACCATCCAAAATTGATTCGCGGTTATCATCGTAATGACCTCTGTATGTTGTTGGCCGAATGAATTCGGTTCGTTGTTGTTCTTGAAAATTCACATGGTTTGGAAATTGGAATGGGGTCTGAGATGTGGTTTGTAAAATCTCACCATAGCTATCAAGTTGACTGTGCACCCGTGGTATGGACACTTGATTTGGTGGTACGACATGGTTATTTGGGAAATTCAATGCATTGTATCGATCGGGAAATGTGGCCAACTTCTCGTAATGGCTCGATTTAAAGATCGGCACTTCATTTTTGTTGAGGAAATAGTGATGATGCACATTCGCATTTTCAGTGGCCACTTCTTGTGGATTGTGTACTTGATAGCGAACATCTTGTGTCGATCCTTTGGCATAATATTCGCCGGTATTTAAATTGTCTTGATCATATTGTTGTGATGGATGTGCACGATAATCTAAATTGAATGGCTGTTCTGCATTGTCATAGAGAGTGTTGAAAATTCTTTTCTCCATTTTGGAAAGTTTTTTCTTTTTAACGACGGCCTCTTCAAAGAATTTCGGATAATCTTGATCTCTCAGGAGAAAACTTCGAATATTTGCGCTATGATCATCATTTCTTTTGAACAGAAGTGGACTGTTCTGCAAGCGACGTATCGTAAATTTCAATTCATATCGATAGCCGCGCTTTTCATCTCGATGACGAATTTTATAAACTGACCAAAATGCCGTTATATTATGTTCATCGATCGACTCTTCCAGACAATATTTTATACAGTTATCATGGATTTCAACCAATTGAAATACGCCATTTCGATCAATCTCAAGCTTTCCATTCACCAAATTGATCACATCACCAAACCGACTATTTCTATTATGTCCATTGTTCAGTTCGAGGAATCTTGCCAGTTGAATACTTTCCTCGAGGATTACATCACTGCAAAAAAAAGAGTAGTAAGTGCCAAAGAAAAGGTAATTAATATAATGAGCGTTTGTGCTACAGAAAAATGAACAGTAAAAAATTGATGTTCGAGTGAAATTCGTTCCAACGGCTGCGCCTCATGCAAAAAATGAAGTGACCAATTAAAAAATGTCTACGCACAATTTTCTTAACGCCTTTTTATTTTGGGTCTAGCCATATTTCAATTGTTTTTGTTTTTATTCATTTGCAACAAATACGTGTAATTGTTTTAAGTGCGTCCAAAAAGCAATCGAACCTTTGGAATTTAGTAGAATGTAAGTGGTTGCACAAAATAAACGGTTTGTTTTAAAATCAAATTGTTAACTTTTTCAACCATAAAAATGCAATAATTTAACGCTGTCATTCGCATGGCCATAGTCAGGTTGCATGCTCCGCTCCAAATTGTGCAATTAATTTTTTTTAAATCAATTTTACGATTATATTGTGTCATTCAACTTACAGAGATGCGCAATCATTTGAATTTCACATCATTTTTTATTCTTCTTTCATATCAAAATGATACAAGATTCCGTTTGAAATAAGGTGCATTTTTTTCCTGCGTTTATCATTTGCAGATGTTACCTTGTGCTTGCGTTTGAATTGATTTTATTGTTAAGCATCAGATATAATGAATGCTTTAACGGTTCCAACCATCGATTTTCCACGTTCTGCTCAACGATGTAGTCATCAATGTTGTTGTTATGCCGGTTACGGTCTATCTCGTTTGCCTCGCTGGGATTATAATATAACGTTTTTCCAGCCACTTGAGTCATTTGATTTGGTGTAAAGATTACATCTCGTTCAATATTCAACATTCGAATATTGTCGAGCCCGGAAAACATCTAGATAAAAAATACAAATTAAATTAACCATCAGAAATATTACAGATTTTCATTTGTTTGATCAAATATACTTCGGTTTTCTAAAGGGAGAGAGAGCAATTTTTTATTAGTTTAATTAGCCTTTTTTTAGCTTTCGCTTTTTTACTTCAAAATGGAAAAAAAATCAGAAAGTTTCTTTTTTCAACGAAGAATTTGAATTCAAAACCCAAATTGTTGATTTTTTTGGTTCTTTTTTTTCTCTTCAAATCAACGAATATCAATTATACGCTTCTCATGCATGTTGATTTTGTGGTTGCCTAATTAGAAACGTTCCGTTAGAAATGAAAGACAAACAACAACAAGAAAACTCGATCAATCGAAACAAAAACAATGAGTGAAATTAACAAATCAAACGGACTCATCGCGTATTCAGAAATGCAATCGAAAAAACGCGGTACTGTGAGTGAAGACAAAAAACAGGCAGACGAATAAAAAAAACCAAAGAATATTTGACAAGGCCAATTCTTAGCAAATCGAATTGATTTTCACTTACAAAGAGTAAAATAAACAAATGACACCCAAATCGGTTGTCCATTGTTTTTTCCGTCTGTTCTCTTTCCACCAAAATTATTTGCACGATTGTCACAAAAAGAAACTTCTTGCACTTCGAAAAATAGTAACCTCTTGCACCTTACACTAGACGATTAAAAATTTAGCATTCACAGAGAAATACGTGATTTTTTCTACAAACAAATCCAGAAAAAGAAACCAAAAGACACATCAATACCATTCAGCGGCCGAAAATAAACTAAACATAATGTTTTCTATAGTAGAATAATTCCAATGAAACGAACACATGAGCCCATTTGAAGAGTGGTAAAACTTGAAAGATCGATTTGTAAGATATAGCGTCTCCTACTCCATGTTCCGTGGAACAAGTAATTCATTGAATAGTTTGATGGTTGTTGGAAAGGTAACGCAAACGACACACGCTAAACGTGAGGAAAATCGCATATAACCCGAAATTGTATGATTATATTATTGCAATATTTTACGCTAGCTGCACAGCTCGACTCGCGATTCTCGTATGAATTTCGTGAAAAAAATAAACATATTTCCATTAAGCAGAAAGATATGTGCACATACGTGCGACATGCATGTGATTCTCCGTTTTTTTCTTCGTCGTCGTTGTTTGCGGTGAAAAATTCACAAACAGTGCAAATGGATCAGCTTAGCAGTAACTGTATGAATTTCGGAAACATCAAACCAAAATGCTTATGTTTTTAAGCCTATGACTGCACACAATAGATTTTGTGTTTATATGGTTGTTGCGATTGCTGATTGAAGAGAGTAAAAGAAAAAAAAATGCGACATCATATTTTCATCGTCCGGTTGTCGTATATTTTTCGCGTGCTGTAATCGCAAAGTAAATAACATGTAACACGAAATCACAGAGAATTTGATAATAATAAAAAAAAGTAAGACATTTCAAGTGGTTGCATAAAAACAACAGTCTTTCACTATTTCGGTTTTTGTGAACGCATGCACTAGAACAAACAATTTCAATACTTTCATACAAGTTTTACCCTTTCTTTCCGCAGTTGACAACAATTGAATTGAAATTTTAACGTCCAAACTTCATTTTAAAAATGTAAATTTTGTTTCGAAGCGATCTTAATCAGCGATGCTAATAACAAGTTAATTACAACGATGGACAATATGTACACCAAAATCCACATGCCGGAAATGAGTTGAAAAATTCATCTTTTTCAATAAATTTCCTTGTGGAATTGAGTTGTGTGTCTGAATACATTGAATCAAATTCACATAGAATTCCTCAAGACAATTTCGATTTAATTTTGAACACGTGAGAATTTATTAAAATCATAAATATTCAACAGCAAAAAACATATTTTTTAAGAAATAGTTTACGCATATAAGAACATTCGCCTATTGGATGAAAAAAAAAAAACGGAAATAGATCGCTGATATAATTGAATGGTATTTGAAAAATTGAATAAAATGGAAGGTGTGCGATTTTTGCGTTTTTTCATAGCAAATCGACCATCAAAAATGGGTTCTCACACACGAATGTGAATGTTGCCACTTGAACGATGTTCAACGGGCAAGATCATCACATAGATAAGGTCGAATAATTGACTTAATGACACACAGACAAATCGCTTTGTGCAATATTACGAGCAAATAAATCATTGGCACGACTCGCAAAAATATACGATTTCATATTTTGTAAAGACAAACGACCGTTAGTTGTATTTTTATGCAATTTATTAGACCAAACAAAGGTCAAATTCTGATATACCTATCGCATTCATACCATTTTGCGTGGAAGTGTGCAATTTTTCATTTACCCAAACGTTAAATCACTTCACCTCTATAGACGCACGATATTGCAAAAATTATAACGAAATTGAGCCATATGCTTTAGTTATGCATAATAAAACAGGAACCATTTTACCTTGTTCATCATTGCAATATGATCGCACACATGTCCAAAATCATAAACACCAAATTGTCAAATGAAATTCTTTCGCGTGAAGATGTGCGATCTTTTGCAAAACAAAGTTTCATCACATAACATTCTTGGCGCATCACATACCACATTACACAATTCGAGTAAACCAACACTAAAATTATTTATGGATGATAATTTAATTACATTCATTATGATGGCATCAAATGACTATGCGCGCCCATTGATTTTTATCAACATAGCGAATAAATTCAAGGGTGTATTGCACAAGAAAAATTCTGCTCCGAATTATGTGCATGAAATTTTTTTAATTTAATTTTTATGGAAAAATAAAAAAAATGCATCTGTTCAATTTGATTTCAATCTATTTGTATTTCTGTTCGTTTTTAGCTTCGTTGCCCGGAACAACAACGGCCCATCAGCTTGTACAAGCCATTCGCCAAAAATGCACAGCTGACGAGGTTCTAAACATTTTGAATGATCTTCCCAATCCAGAGAACGACAATGAAATGGTTGAATCAACATTTAATCCATTGAAAATCGATGTCTTTGTTCAAACATTGTTGAATTTGGGCTCAAAAAGTTTCTCACACAGTTTTGCGGCCATCGCTAAATTCCATCAAGTTTTCAAGGTGAATAGTAATTGATTTGCATTAAAATTAACGTAAAACGATGCTCACGAACGTGTTTTTCGTTTAATTGAATTATTTTAATTGATTTTAATTAGAAGTTTTTTTTATCTTGCCATAGACAATTGCCGATTCGGAAGATGCACAGATTTGCTTATTGCACAATGTATATGAATTGTGGGGCACCCATCAGCAAATGTTGGTGGTTTTGATTGATAAATTGCTTAAGACACAGATTGTCGAATGTTCGGCCGTTGCAACATGGATTTTCTCTGCAAAGATGACAAATGACTTCACCAAAATGTACTTGTGGGAAATTCTTCATTTGACCATTAAGAAAATGAACAAACACGTCATCAAACTGGGTAAGTGAATGGACTTTGAAAGTATTCTGAGATTGTTAGTAATTGTGTATTATTTATCTTTGACTCATAAAAGGTACGGAATTGGCTGAGGCAAAAGAGAAATTGTCACGTGTTGAATCATCATCAGACGATTCGGAGGAAGAAGGCACAAACAAACGAAAGAAAATCGAAGTTGGTGAAAAACCAACCGAAGAAATGGTCGAAAAAATGGAAGAAAAACTCGATGCCGCAAATGTTGAACAGAAACGTTTGTTTTTGATTGTGTTCCAGCGATTCATTATGATTTTGTCGGAGCATTTGGTGCGTTGTGACAGAGACGATCAAGAATATGACACCGACTGGTATCGTTGGACTATTGGCCGATTGCAACAAGTCTTCTTGTTGGTGAGTATAAAAAATTTGATGAAATTAGTCAAGAAAATGCCTAAATAAAACTTATTCAATTTGCAGCATCACGAGCAAGTGCAAAAGTACAGTGCCACATTGGAAACATTGCTCTTCTCGTCCGATCTTGATCCGCACATTTTGGATGTGTTCCAGCAATTCGTTGCCCTACAAGCTTAGATAAAGAAAATTGTTTGTTTCGATCACGGTGGATCCTCAGTTTTTATAGAATCTAGGCAAACGACCACTTTTTTTATTATGATTATTGTGTTGAAGACATAGAATATTTATCGATTTGAAACAAAACCGAATGGAAAATTATTCAATTGTATTGAAATAATTATAACTCGACACACTCTTATCACTTTTGCATTCAACATCTAGAATTAGAAATAAGATGATAATAATTATTATTCAAAAAAAAAATATCTATGGACGACTTTCGTCACGAAAATTAAAACGATCTACTTTCCAAAACAAAACCATAATTGAATCGTTGCGGCGAAACAGTAGCTCTTATTTTTCTCCAAATAATATTTGTATTACAACAAATAAACTATTCATAAAAAACTTTATGTTGCAGTATTATTTGGAGAAGAATAAGAGCTACTTTTTCGCCGCAACGATTCAATTGTCAGTTGAAGTTAAAAATAAAATGAAGCAATTGTGTATTTTATTGAAGACATTAATGGAAAATGTACAATTGTAAGCCGTACAGAAATGAATAAATAAACTGGAGTAAAGAACAATCGGTTGTTTTCATTCTTTTTCCGTACATAACGTACATATCTCCTTCTTCTAGAGCGGATCCAATCCATTAAATAGAAATCAATTTAAAAAAAAAATCAATGAAAAAAAGTAAATAAAAAGCGCTTCGTGTAAGATTTTTAACTTTTTTTATTAGATTTTCTCAATTTTTTTTTTCAGATACATAAATTGCAGAAATACATATTTTTAGGGGTGATGATAATAGCTTACTAGAATTTATTTTAATTAGCTCTGATGTTCTGTAATAAATTCTATTGTATTTCCATATGCATAAGTCTGTTGTTGTTGGTTTTTTTTTGTTGATTGAGGGATAGTTTTTCTTAATTTTGTTGTTGTTGTTGGTATGTTCTATTGAATGTTTTTCTTTGTTATTGAATAAGTTTGAATGCGGGGGTACCATTGACTACATCATAAAAATTGAGACACGAAGCGAACATGGATAGTGTATGAATTTCTTGATGGATGTTTTATTTTGTTGCTGTTAATTCATAAGAAATCGGATGTTCTCATTTGTTTGATTCGCTTCGTGCTTGTAGGAATTCATATACAAATGCGCTAGTAAACTACATATCAAATGATTTATATCGAATGAGTAATAGCCCATGCAATATTTTCTATACGCTGAAGAGTATGATTGAAACACTCATATGTCAGCGAGCTGTCACTTCTTCCAAATAAATCACTTGATATACGAATGCCATTTGTGTAGTATCGTTGATATATAATATTTTTTTTGTTGGGGTGAAAGTGATAAATTGTAATCTGTTAATAGTTCGCTATGTTTATTGTAATTTTTGTTTGTTTATTTTGTGGGTGTTCTCAAGTGTGTTTGTGTGTATGTGTATGTGTGAGAGTGTGTGAATAAAATATTTATCGTAGATATTTCTCACATTAAATTGACTAGAGATAATATGGATGCTACTAAATTGTATGCAATAACATTTGTTTATATAATTTTTATTTTTATTTTTTTTGAGTATATTTTTTGTTTGTTGTCAATGCAATGCGTCTTATGAGAATAAGTGTTAATCAAGCAAATTTCTTTTGGACCAACTAAGGGAATAGCAATCGGTCAATCAAACATAAAAGCGTCAATCGATTTTGGATTATTTTTCGATTTGAAAATCTCCGTCGATCTCAAAGAATGGCCGATTAATGAAGCATTGATTATACCATTTATTTTACTATAAATATTTATCCAATTTTTGTCCACACCATAAGCGAAATATGATAATATAATAAACACACAAAATTCTTCTTTTTTTGTTTTCATTCACTTTCAAATTCGTCTCACTTCATTTTGTGTTTGTGACGAGCGCCAGTTTTAATTAAATTGTTTTTCTTTTTTGCTCTCAAGGTGCAACAAACTGCAAACGATTTTTTTGGTTTTGTTTTGATCAAATTTATGTTTTCATTGTGCAAAAAATGTTCAATTGGATTTTATCTTTTGGATCGTTTGAGTATATTTTGTTCTTTGTTCTGCTGATTATTAAATCGTTTATTTTTTCCTTTGCTTTGACAAATAAAAAAAAACCACTCGCAATTTTGTACGTATACAGTGATATTCAGTAAAAAGAACAGAAAAATCTCGTAAATCACTTGCATAAATTTCACTCGTCGTAAATAAAGATTGAATAAAATCCCTGCTTCAAGACACTTTTATTTTTATTTTTGTTTGCATATGAATTTGCAATATAAAAAACTATGTTGCCGAATGTCAATGTGCAATTTCTGCATCAGATCGTATTATTTATTTATTTTTGTTTCTTTAAGTTTTATTTAACAAATTAATTTGTTGATTTTATTTAGTGCTGAAATACGCACTCAATTTGCTATCCTATGAAATAATATTATTCAGTTTAAGTTGTCCATCCGTTTGAAAATCACATCATTCGTTTGGCTTTGCTATATAAATTTACCTCGATAAAAAACAAAGAAATTGCATTAAATTGAAACGAAAAAAATCGAAATCGCTGCAAACGTAACAATAAAAACAGTTCTTTTAAAACTTTTCATTTTTTTGTATTTTTTTCCTATCAAATTGGCTTGTAACCGAAGCACATAAATAGCTAAAAAAAATTCACAACAAACTATCAATCTGGCGAAGGCAATTAAATCGATATATGTTGTGAGACACATATTCTTTGAAAAATTAAATTAGCAACAATGATCTCGCCTAGTTCCTTGATGAAGGAAAAGAGGCCTGAAATAAAAGGCGTTTGCAATGCAGCTGTGAAACTGAATATATGGAATTAAATGCAATTGTTTCCTATTTTGTATCACAAGTCTTAAGTCCTGCAAAGTTTTTTTTTTCTCTTGTTTATAACCATGTCTTGTAGCATGCACACGTTCATTTATTGTTTCACGTCTTTCATTGTTTTTTTTTTTTTCTATATCAACTCATACTTATTCGGTTGAGGTCAATTTATTAAAAGTTAATTGTTTTTGTTCACTTTTTTTATTGTAATATTCTTTTTTTTTCTCATTTATAAAGTCATTCTATTATTGTTTAAGCCTTCATTCGATATTATTTTTTTAAATCGTTATCACAATCACATTTTGTAGTCACATAGAAATGCAATTAAAATGGATAAATACTGGCGTGTGTTTATGTGTTTGTTTTCTAATTAAGGATCGATGTTTTGGCTACCGATCCACTGCAGTTGTTTCTATTTTCATTCATCGAAATTAATAACGGTTTCAAAAAATGAAAAACAAAAAACTATTCTCTTGTCGCCGTTCTTGGCGGGAGAAAATCTTTTTGTTCTGAGATTCTAAAGAAAAATGTGATCAAAAAAACATATTGGAATTTTCCAATGTAAATTGGCTTTATATTGTTATTGCCTGTTAGTTCGGTTTTTGTTTTTAAGTTTATCTGCGAAATATTCGGAGAAGGAAAAAAATTAACATAGGCGCTAATTGTTTTATGTCTGAGTTTGATATATTTGGCGTATTTTTTTATTAATTCATTTGGGGAAGCCATTATTTACTCTGCTAAATGTCTTAAATTCAGTTCACACGTATGTAAGCTTTATATCCACTTTTAAAGTCTTTTTGAAATCATAAACAAGAATTTTATTTTATTTTCTTTTTCGTCGATTTTTTTCGTTCGTTTTTCAATGTTTTTTTTTTTTATTTGGGCATATTAGGTTCATTTGGTTGTTTTTTTTTCACTAGAAACTGTTTTTTTCGTGCTCATTTCTCTTAATACGTAAAATTAAAAATTACCTAAATGTAGAATATTCGTGTTTTGTATTTTGTTTGAGGGGGTATAGGTTGAATATATTCGTATGTGTGGGTGAGTTTTTGTGAGTTTTAGGTTAAATGGCTGTTCGATTGATCGTCGTATGGTTTGAGTAGGGTATGAGGTGTTTTATTATTAGTGGCTTCAAGTGCGGCGAATTGGGGTTAGTCGATTTTTTATCTATAAAATGTTCAAAATTCCATTGTTTTTCACCATTGTGTTGCACCTTCAATCATTTGGGTGACCAATCGAAAACATCTCTCGAAACTGAACCATTCTACTCTGTCACGCATTACACATATACGCAATCTTTATTATTTTCATTATTTTCGCACATAGTAATAAGATAATATTAGTTAATAAAATTAGTTGTTTTTTTTTTGGTTGGTTAAATTCTAACACTAAATAAATAATATTGTATTGTTTGTTGATATAAGAATTGGGCCATCTAGTAGTACATTTTGATTAAAATAAAATGGATGTATCTCATTTTCTGAGCGGGAGAAAAAGAAATCATTTTTAATTTTGTTTAGCATAACACTTAGTTTGTTGCAATGAGATCGAACTTTCTTTTTGATTTGCTGGAGATTTCTTTCCATAAAATTCAATTGTTTTATAAATAAATTTTTTTACTTCAATTTTGTAAACGTTGCAAAAAAAACCATTAAATGGTGCACCAATTTGCTTTTTAATCCAATCATAAAAATATATCTCTAATGTAATCAATAATCAAAGCTAACCAATTGGTTTTTAGATGCGAAAATAGAATTTTTTTTAACAGTTGTTTTTTTTTTAATTTTTTAATTTCATTTGGTCTAAGGTACATCAATTACATAATTTATTATGTGAAAGCTCGTTCGATTCTTTTTTCTTAAAGAGGGCTTTAAACAGAAACATAAGTACTTGAAACTTGAATAAACTTCTTCACTTTCATATTTATTGCACATGGCAATGTTTATCCTCTTCTTTTGATTTTTTTTTTTTTTTAAATCCATTAATGGATACAATCGTATCTAGAAATTTTTTTCTTCTATAGAATTCACGTCGCTATCTAGGAGAGAGATACCATTTTGTAAACAACAATAACTTGACATAAATAAATCGCTTTATGGGAATGCACGATTTGTAATGCAATAATATAAGAATAGGTTTTTCTTGTTGTATATGGGAATAACATTTCATTTTTTGTGTTTTGATTAATTTGTGTTCCAGTGAAGCAAATGTATTTATGTTTTCGTGTTGCACCGCTTTTGTCTATTGAGAAAATTGTTAAAATGTTTTTGTTGTTGTTGTATATCTGGTGCATTGAATATCAAATTGAATTTCATAAATAGATTGTGCATTTTGTTGTTGTTAATCAAACTGATGGCTGATTTAAAGAAAAAAAAAAAGGCTGTTTTATTACTTCTACTGTATCCATTTGAGGAATTTTACTTCAATATATGGATATTCGATCGATTTAACTTAGAACTCCAAGCGATAAGCTGAACAAGATGTCTCATGATCTTGTAAATTGATTGTGCATCGAGATGCTGACGGAGATAAATCGATGTGGCATTTTGCGAGCAACTCTTCATTTTCAGCTACCCAATAGCCGAGCACATCTGTGTCGTATGTGGGAATGATGGTGACTTCTGCAATAAAAAATGGACGACATTTAGTAGAAATTCAAATAATTTTACAAATTTTATCTGGAATTTACCCAAATTTTTGTCTTCCCATGTTTGTTTAGCTTCAAGCAGAGCATTGTATGCATCTCGGCTGGGTTCAGTTCCCGAGAATACATAGTATCGAGCTCGTACACGTTTGAAAAATTCCACATGCGAATAGTATGAGTTTCCATTATGCGGTACATATGTAAGATCCATGTAAATTGGTGTGATTTTTTTGCTTTTATTTGGTGAATTGGCGCGCTTATTTTTCTCATTGTTTATTTTAATTTTAGCCGATACAATCTTCCGTTCTCTCTTTGGTGTTGGTGGATTATCGTTCATCGATACTGGAAGACCTAATGGTTTACCCCAAGATGCGACTCGTTCTTCGGCTTTTTTCAAATCGTCCTCCAATTGGCGTGCCAATGCATCGGCAGCCGAACTGGCCGCTTCTGCCGATGATACTGTTGTTGTTGCTGTTATTGTTGTTGTGGCTGTAGCTGTTGTAACTGTTATCACTTCTGTGTCTTTTGGTTGATCTTTGGGTGATTTCACATCGGTCAATGGAAAATCGGCAGTAGATTCGGTCAATTGACCGGTAGCCGGGAATTTTGATGGAGAAAATTCATATTTTGATGTAACGGATGACATGACATCAGCACCGCGCACTTGACGATGCTCTTCTAAGGCTTTTTCGAAGTCAAGATCGGCTTCATCGAGGAATTTATGATCACTCGATTTGCTGGTGAATGTTTTTTGTGTCGTTTGTGTGTGTGTAACTGGCTCACTATCACCATGAATATCATATTGTTTTGTGATTACTGTACGAACCGTTGTAACTGTCGTTGGTTCGGATTTTTCACTTCCACTTGGTAATTCTCCATAAAATGATGCGCTCATCGGATCGATTGCATATGAGGATGATACAGTGACAGCTGATTTGTATTCTTGGCTACCATATTGTGGTGGAATGTCATTTTGTGAATCGTCAATATCCAAATCTGATTTTTTACTCAATTCCGAATTGGAACGTTCAAATTGATAGTCTTCGTACGAGTACTTTTGACTTGATGTAATGGCTTCATCGTCACTAATAGGTAAACTTTCATTGTCTGAATCACGGCATGCTTTCGATTCGATTTTAATCGTTGAAATTTCTTTGTTCATCACTTGCGCGGATGATGTTACTTCTTTGGTTGTGGCCGACAAATCGAATGAATGTTCCTTTGTGCTCAATGCACCACCATCGAAAACGGTTTCAATCGAACCTTTGTCGGATGTTGTGCTCTCCAGTGAAGAATGTGTACTGATTTTTTGAGTTAATTTATGATCCAAACTTGATAATTGCTCATCTATCACGGCCGAAGATTCAAGTTTTTCGTTTGGTTTGCTAGTGATTTTTTCATCAATTCTTTTAACGTCTTCAATTAGCGTACTAATGTCGGATGTTTTACGCGATGAACCGCTCAGATTTGAATCATCTTTTGATACTTCGATAATTTTGTCTAAATCCAAACTTTGAGGTGCTTTTCCAATACCAAAAACGGATATCGATGCAACCGATTTTGAACGTGATTCCCTCAAAACGTCGGTTTTCTTTGGCAATTCGTGAACAATAAAATCATCTTCTACGGTTCCTTGGACGATATTCTTTTTATCAGATGAATCATGAAAATCGCAAATAGTACTCCCAGCTGTTATTTGTAGACCAATCGTATCTGAATCACTACCATCCTTTTTATCTGTTGACTTTTCAGTTGTTTTGCTACTCGAAGCTGTTGAATCGATTCTTTCGTCACTTATTTTTGTATGTGTTTCAGTTACGGTTTTTATTAATGTTTCTTCTTTTAATATAATTGTTTTTTCTGCTTCAATAAAAGCACTTGTCTCCGATTTTATTCCGCATTTTTCAACTGATGGTGTGGGTGATTTTTCATCATCCTTTTTATCATCGTGTGACTCGACTGATGGAGCCGGCGATTTTGATAATTGTTCATCTTTTGCACTGGCTTGGCTTACGCTTGATGCTGGACGAGACTCAGTGGTTGATTTTTTATCGTCATCTTTGGTCAACGAGTCCTTATTTTCGCTTTGAATTGATGGAGTTGGTGATTTTGATAATTGTTCGTCTTTTGCGCTAGCTTGTTTTGCGCTTGATACTGGACGAGAGTCAGTAGTTGATTTTTTATCGTCATCTTTAGTTAAAGAGTCCTTGTTTTCACTTATAATTGATGGATCTGGTGATTTTGATAATTGTTCGTCTTTAGTACTGGTTTGGCTTACGCTTGATACTGGACGAGAGTCAGTTATTGATTTTTTATCATCATCTTTGGTCACAGAGTCTTTCTTTTCACTTTGAGCTGGTGATTTTGGTAATTGTTCGTCTTTTGCACTGGTTTGGCTTGCGCTTGATACTGGACGAGAGTCAGTGGTGGATTTTTGATCATCATCTTTAGTCACAGAGTCTTTCTTTTCACTTTGAATTGACGGAGTTGGTGATTTAGCATCATCCTTTTTGTCATCATGTGACTCAATTGATGGAGCCGGTGATTTTGATAATTTATCACTTACAATTGATTCGGGTCGACTCAAATCAGCCGGTGTTGCCTTTCCAGACGCATCTGATTTTTCACTCAAAATTGATTGTGAACGTGACTTTTGTGCATCATCAATCTCAACTTTTTCTTCACTTACGACACTCACAATCGACTGACTTCGTGATTCTACTTTATTTACTGTCGATTCCTCTTTGGATGGAGGAGCAGGCGACTTTTGTTCATCTTTCAAACTAATATCACTTGCGGCTGATTCCGGCCGTGATGGTGCGCTTGGCGCAAATTTGACGTCATCTGCTTTTTCCAAAGAGTCTTTTTTCACGCTCTCTGATGGGCTTGGTGATACACTTGTTACGGATTTCTTATCGTCTTTACCTTCACTGACGATACTTGCAACGGATTGACTTCGAGATTCGGATTTCGTTGTAATTTCTTCTGGTTTTGTTGATTGAACTGGCGACTTTTGACCATCTTTTTCATATAAATCTTTTTTGTCGCTCTCCGCTGATGGACTGGGAGATTTTGAAATTGGTTCATTGTCTTTTTTGTCACTGGCGGCTGATTCTGGTCGGCTCACAGCAGCTGGAGTCGCTTTTCCGGAAATATCAACCTTTTCACTCACAATAGACTGTGTTCGCGATTTTTGAGTTTCGGTAATTTCAACTTTATCCTCACTAATAGCACTTGCAACGGATTGGCTTCGTGATTCCACTTTAGTTGCTACTGGTTCTTCTTTGGATGGAGGAGCCGGAGATTTTTGTCCATCTTTCAAACTAATATCACTTGCGGCTGACTCTGGCCGAGATGGCACGCTTGGCGCAAATTTGACGTCGTCTGCTTTTTCCAAAGAGTCTTTTTTCACGATCTCTGATGATCGGCTCGGTGATACACTTGTTACGGATTTCTTGTCATCAGCCTTGTCTACACTGGCCACGCTCGTAATTGATTGGCTTCGTGATTCCACTTTAGTTGCTGGTGGTTCTTCTTTTTCGAATGAATCTTTTTTGGTGCTCTCCACTGATGGACTCGGAGATTTTGCAATTGGTTCATCATCTTTTTTGTCACTGGCGGCTGATTCAGGTCGGCTCACAGCAGCTGGAGTCGCTTTTCCGGAAATATCAACCTTTTCACTCACAATAGACTGTGTTCGCGATTTGTGTGTTTCTGTAATTTCAACTTTATCCTCACTAATAGCACTTGCAACGGATTGGCTTCGTGATTCCACTTTAGTTGCTGGTGGTTCATCTTTTTCGAATAAATCTTTTTTGTCGCTTCCCACTGATGGACTGGGAGATTTTGCAATAGGTTCATCGTCTTTTTTGTTACTGGCGGCTGATTCAGGTCGGCTCACAACTTTTTCACTTACTATCGATTGTGAGCGTGATTTTTGTGTGTTTTCAATTAATTCATCTGTGGCTTTTTCATCTGATTTTGTGGATGGTGTCGGTGATGTGTGTTCATTTTTGCCATCGCTTACTCTTGATTCAGGTCGTGATGTGTCTTTCTGCGTTTCTGAAGATGATGGTAGTTTTGTCAATTGTTTTTGGTCAACGATTGCGATTGAATCGGTTTGAATTCCGGATTTAGCAGTGGTAATGGTGGTCTCAATTTTTACGTCTTTGACTGGTGAAATGGGCGATTTTTCGGCTTCTTTTGTGACATCGATCGCGCTTGCAATCGAACCACTACGTGAATCAATTTTAGATGAGGTACTTTCCTCTTCAATCTGTTCTTCTTTAAGTTCAGTTTCGCTTTCTTTTTCGCTAACATGGCTCGCAGCAGATTCCGGTCGACTTACAGATACGGGTGACGATTTTCCTGAAATATCTGCTTTCTCACTTACGATTGATTGCGAACGTGATTTTTGTGTATCGTCTGAAACTTGTTCTTCCGATTTTTCGCTAACTTTTTCATCTTTTTCGCTCACGATGCTTACAATCGACTGACTTCGTGACTCGACTTTTGGCTCTTCTTTGGTTGGTGATGTCGGAGATTTGTGTCCATCTTTTGAACTTGCAGCAGACTCTGGTCGTGTTGAAAGTTTTTCTTCAATTTGCGGTGGTGAAGGTGATTTTTTCACTTCCTTTGACTCTTCAATATCACTTTCAATTGTGGTGCTTTGTGATTCGATTATTACGGACTTTTCAATTTTTTCCTCTTTAACTGTCACAGATTCCAATTTCGATTCATCTTTTGTACTAGCTTGGCTTGCACTTGATGCTGGACGAGACTCACTTGTTGATTTTTTATCATCATCTTTAGTCAGAAAATCTTTCTTGTCACTTTGGATTGATGGAGCTGGTGATTTTGATAATTGTTCGTCTTTTGCGCTAGCTTGGCTTGCGCTTGATACTGGACGAGAGTCAGTGGTTGATTTTTTATCGTCATCTTTAGTTAAAGAGTCCTTGTTTTCACTTTGGATTGATGGAGCTGGTGATTTCGATATTTGTTCGTCTTTAGTATTGGTTTGGCTTACGCTTGATGCTGGGCGAGAGTCAGTTATTGATTTTTTATCATCATCTTTGGTCACAGAGTCTTTCTTTTCACTTTGAACTGATGGAGCTGGTGATTTTGATAATTGTTCGTCTTTTGCACTGGTTTGGCTTGCGCTTGATACTGGACGAGAGTCAGTGGTGGATTGTTTATCATCATCTTTAGTCACAGAGTCTTTCTTTTCACTTTGAATTGATGGAGTTGGTGATTTAGCATCATCCTTTTTGTCATCGTGTGACTCGATTGATGGAGCCGGTGATTTTGATAATTTATCACTTACAATTGATTCGGGTCGACTCAAATCAGCCGGTGTTGCCATTCTAGACACATCTGGTCTTTTACTCACAATTGATTGTGAACGTGACTTTTGTGCATCATCAATCTCAACTTTTTCTTCACTTACGACACTCACAATCGACTGACTTCGTGATTCTACTTTATTTACTGTCGATTCCTCTTTGGATGGAGGAGCAGGCGACTTTTGTTCATCTTTCAAACTAATATCACTTGCGGCTGATGCCGGCCGTAATGGCGCGTTTGGAGCAAATTTGACGTCATCTGCTTTTTCCAAAGAGTCTTTTTTCACGATCTCTGATGGGCTCGGTGATACACTTGTTACGGATTTCTTGTCATCAGCCTTGTCTTCACTGGCCACGCTCGTAATTGATTGACTTCGTGATTCAACTTTAGTTGCTGCTGGTTCTTCTTTTTCAAATGAATCTTTTTTGTCGCTCTCCACTGATGGACTGGGAGATTTTGCAATTGGCCCGTCATCTTTTTTGTCACTGGCGGCTGATTCAGGTCGGCTCAAAGCAGCTGGAGTCGCTTTTCCTGAAATATCAACCTTTTCACTCACAATAGACTGTGTTCGTGATTTTTGAGTTTCGGTAATTTCAACTTCATCCTCACTGACAGCACTTGCAACGGATTGGCTTCGTGATTCCACTTTAGTTGCTTGTGGTTCTTCTTTGAATGGAGGAGCAGGAGATTTTTGTCCATCTTTCAAACTAATATCACTTGCGGCTGACTCTGGCCGAGATGGCGCGCTTGGCGTAAATTTGACGTCGTCTGCTTTTTCCAAAGAGTCTTTTTTCACGATCTCTGATGGGCTCGGTGATACACTTGTTACGGATTTCTTGTCATCAGCCTTGTCTACACTGGCCACGCTCGTATTTGATTGGCTTCGTGATTCCACTTTAGTTGCTGGTGGTTCATCTTTTTCAAATGAATCTTTTTTGGCGCTCTCCACTGATGGACTCTGAGATTTTCCAATTGAATCATTGTCTTTTGTGTCACTGGCGGCTGATTCAGGTCGGCTCACATCAGCTGGAGTCGCTTTTCCGGAAATATCAACCTTTTCACTCACAATAGACTGTGTTCGTGATTTTTGAGTTTCGGTAATTTCAACTTTATCCTCACTAATAGCACTTGCAACGGATTGGCTTCGTGATTCCACTTTAGTTGCTTGTGGTTCTTCTTTGGATGGAGGAGCCGGAGATTTTTGTCCATCTTTCAAACTAATATCACTTGCGGCTGACTCTGGCCGAGACGGTGCGCTTGGCGCAAATTTGACGTCATCTGCTTTTTCCAAAGAGTCTTTTTTCACGATCTCTGATGGGCTCGGTGATACACTTGTTACGGATTTTTTGTCATCAGCCTTGTCTACACTGGCCACACTCGTAATTGACTGGCTTCGTGATTCCACTTTAGTTGCTGTAGGTTCTTCTTTTTCGAATGAATCTTTTTTGGCGCTCTCCACTGATGGACTCGGAGATTTTGCAATTGGTTCATCATCTTTTTTGTCACTGGCGGCTGATTCAGGTCGGCTCAGAGCGGCTGGAGTCGCTTTTCCTGAAATATCAACCTTTTCACTCACAATAGACTGTGTTCGCGATTTTTGTGTTTCGGTAATTTCAACTTTATCCTCACTAATAGCACTTGCAACGGATTGGCTTCGTGATTCATCTTTTGCTGTGATTGCCAATTCTTCTTTCTCTGATGGTACAGGAGATTTGGGTTCATCTTTAGCGCTCACATCATCTGTTTTATCCAAGCTATCTTTTTCATCGCTCTGAGGAGGTGGGCTTGGTAATTTTGTTGTTTGCGAAACATCTTTTTTATCACTTGTCGCTGATTCAGGTCGGCTAACATTGGCTGGCGTTGCTTTTCCTGAAATATCAACCTTTTCACTCACAATTGATTGTGAACGTGATTTATCAGTTGGCACTGGTTCGTCTTTTGCAGATGGCGTCGGAGATTTTTGTTCACTTTTTTCTGGAGATTCGGTATTCAATGCACTTTCAACTGCCGGAGTTGATGATTTTTCAGCATCGGCTTTTACGTCACTTGCCGTTGATTCGGCTCGTGATTCGGCTTTTACAGTATCTTTTTCTTCTTTCTCTGCTTTCTCCTCAACTTTTTTGTCTAGATCAACTTTTGCCACGACAGAATCATCCTTTTGATCGGTTGGTGATTTGATACCTTCAATTTCAACGGATCCATGACTGCTGCTGGGCGCTGATGGCGAACCAGTCGATTTTCCCGATGAACTTGATAATTTTTCTTGAACTTGTTTTTCCGGTGAACTGCATGTTTCTTTGAGTTCTGGTTCAGTTGTGTCACTGAAATGACTCATTACCGAATCGGGCCGATCACTTTGTCGGCTTGTTGATTCACGTCGCACCAAATCGTCAACTTCCAACGTAGATTCAATGGTTTCCTTAACCGCTTCCGATTTTTTTTCCAACTCATCATGGCCGACATCGGGAGTAGCCATGCCAGAAATTACTTCCGGCGTTGTTGCTGATGGACTGAATTTGATGGTACCTTCAGCACAAATTTCAATCTCTTCGCCGCCATCTTCACTGCTTGCGGTTACCAACATTCGTTGAACCGTTGCATTATCGTCATCAATTTTCAGTGTTAAGCTTTCTTTGCGTTCACTTAATGACTTTTCGATTTCGACATTTTTCTCGTCATCCTTTTTGTCATCATCATTTTGTGGTGATTTTGAAGCTGGTCTGTCGCTTACAATTGATTCTTTGCGTGAATCGGTAACTTTTTCAACTTGAGTCACCTCCGAATGTGTTTCGATTTCAGTGGATTTCACATCCAATTCATCGTGTTTTAAATCTAATGATGAATTCGAACGTGAGAATTTATCCAAAGTACTTTCGTCTTTGGTAAAATCTTTTTCGCTGAATGTACTAATGGCCGATTCACGTCTCGAATCATCCAAAGCTTCACTCATGAATGATTCTTTGCGATGAATGTCTTCGTCGTCAGTGTCTTTTTGGAATCCTGTTTGATGTTTCTCAGCAATTTCATGTTGTTCTTTCTCATCAATTGAGGTGGTTGACGTTTTTGTTTCCGATAAAGATGCTGACAAATCATATTCCTTGCGATCATTATCAATTTCCACTGCAAATCGTGCATCTTGAAGTGAAGACGAGAACACTTCTGGTGTGCTTGCACGTTGCATAATATGTTTCTCCAATTCATCTTCATTAAAATCGGGTATAATGTCGGTGATATCTCTTTCTGATTTCAAAACTTCGGCCACGTTTGCGACAATTTTCAATACTTCTTGTTCACGTGGCGAAACTGATCGTGGCGGTTCGACTTGAATCTCAAGCGGTACACTTGGTTTTGGTGATGACTGTGGTGGTGAAATGCGATCTTCTTCGTCTTCTTCTTTAATATCATTCAGTGATTCAACTTCCGCAATTTCAGCAATAGTTTTGTCAATGACTTGCAAATCGATTATCTTACTCTTTTCAATAATGGGCGATTCAACGGTTGTGATGTGTGTTTCGCGTAATTCTTGTGTACATTGAGCATCAAATGGATGACTGTAATCATATACTTCTTTGTATTGAGTTGATTTTAAATCTAAATCGGATGGTGTGGCTGATTTAATTGGTTCTTCAGCAACAGAGCTAACACTTTCCTTTCGTATTGGAGAAGCGACCTCTTCCTTCGTTGGTGGCGGTGATGGTGATGCACTCTCGTGCTCGATTCCTTCAATTGAAACTTTTTCTGCAACACTTTGTTTACGTGATTCACTTATTTTTTCGTCTTTTATTGGCGATGAACTCCCGGATTTTTCTACTTCTTTCTCAACTTCGGGTGCACTTGGTTTCACAGTATCGGCCTTGATTTCAGTTTCGTCGATTAAACTTGCTCTTTTACTGTCAAGACTTTCGCTAACTTTATCCGGAACAGGCGATACACTTGTTTGTTCTTTAAGATCGGGTGATGGGCTCTTTGAAGCAACTTTTTCATCTTTGGTATGGGTTGTGTCTTGAATTGGTGAAGCACTGAGTTTCTCTTCAATTTTCGTTGGCGAAGCAATTTTTACCTCATCTCCAACTTTGAATGAAGCAACATCAGTTTCAACTTTGATTGCTTCTTTTTCCTTAACATCTTCAGCCGATACAGACACTTTAATTTCACTATCAATTTTTTCGTCTTTTGTTGGCGATGGACTTTTGGACTTTTCTTCTGGTTTTTGCTCAATAATTTTAGCAATTTCAGTTTTGATCTCAGCATCAGCGATTAAGCTTTCTCGTTTAATTTCGATTGGTATTTCTTTTGTTTCTTCTTTCAAATCGGGCGATGGACTTTTCGAAGCAACTTTCTCTGCAATTGGGTCAACGGAAACACTATCTTTTCGATCTAATTCAAGCTTTTCCGGTGAATCACTCTTTACTTCTTCAACTTTTTCGTTAATAATTTCAGTTTTGATTTCCTCTTGTTTAATATCTGGAGACACACTCTTAGTTTCAACAGTTTCATCCTTTGCTGAAACTTTCTCTTTTGCTGGCTCAATATCATCTGGTTTACCTTCATCTGTTGGACTTTTTCCTTTCAATTCACTTGATTCTTCAGTCAAATCCACTTTTCCGGTTACATCTTTCAATGTACTTTCAAATTGTTTTCCCAAATCTTCCACTTTATATTCGACTTTTTCGACTGGTGACGTAACTTTTGAATCGACACTGGTCGGTGAAGGACTTTTCTTTTCAATCGCAACAGCTTTTGATTCGATTTTTTCTTCTTTCGTAGAAATTTTTTCAACTTTTTCTGGCTGTTCCTCTATTTCTTTTGTGTCGTCTTTTTCTTTTTCTTCAATTTCTTTACTCTCAATTTTAGTCTTAATTGGCTGTTCATGTTTAATAGGTTCGTCTGCTTTACGCAATGAAGCCTTGCGGCTGCCAGTCATTGTTTCATCAGCAATATCAGCTTCTTCATGCACTGGCAAATCGGCCACTTCATCTGGTGTTTTAATATTTAATTCGCGCAAATGTGGCTGTTGTGCATCGAATTGCATTGGTTTTGGTTGTACACGTTCAACGGGCTCATCAGTTGTGGCTGTAACAACCACTTGAGTTTCTTTTGTCTCTTCTTTGGTGTATTTTTCTTCAATTACAACATCTTCTTTGATTTCATCCATTGTGATGTGCTCATCTTCGGGCAAAGTGGGTGCTGTTGTTGCACCCGATTCGGCCGTTGCTTGACTTTCGGGAACGTTAACAATGTCACCCTCTTTTGTATCGCCTCCTTTATCTGCGCCCAATTCTTCTTTATCGTCGGATTTTTTCTCATCGCTTGGTTCTTTTTCATCGGATATTGGAGAACCTTCGTGTGATTTCACTTCTTCAACATCAGCTTTGCCTTTTGGAACAGTGCCATTCATTTTATGCGCAGTTGGAACCGTTTCCTCTTTTTCTTCTGTAAAATCAAGTATGAAAAATATGTGATACAAATTTCGTTCTTTTTAAATTTCAAAAATAATAATAATAAAAAGTACCTTCTTTAACATCAGTCACTTCTTCTGCATCTGGAGCACTTTCAACAGTTTCTTTCTCTTGTTCGGTCGATTTTTCAATGGCTTGTTGTGGTTCTTCTTCTTCAGTTGTTTCCATGCTTGGTTTACGTTTTTTCTCCGATTCTTGTGAATCGCGTTGGTGTTTAACCTCTTCTTTGCCAGTTAAATCGGCACTTTCTTGTTCATTAACCGAATCTTCTGTGTACGGTTCTTCTTTTTCAATAATAATATATTCTTCATCCTCGTCGACTTCAGTAGTGCTATCTTGTTTATCAATAATGGCTCGATGTTCATCGTCAATATCTTTGGTTCGTTTTTCGGATCGTTGCAACACTGCTTCAATTTCACGCACAGCTTCTTGTTCTTCAATCAAATCATCGAGTAAAATTTGTTTCTCTTGTTCGGTGGTTTTCTTCGATTTTGCATCATCAGCGCTTGGTGTTGAAACCACACTTGAATCAGAAGTGGTACCCTTTTCGGTTTTCGGTCTTCGAACGGCCGTATCTTTGGTTACTTTTTTAACCGTTTTCATTGGACTACCAGCAGCTGGTTTGGGTCGTCGTGAAATAGCTTTCCGTTCAACTTTCACCTCTTTCTTTTCGGTTGTTTGAGCCACATCTTTTTTCAACGTTTTCACAGTCGTCTTTTGTCTCGATTCAAAAACTTTGCGATTATTTGCTTCTTTGGTACTTTTGGCTGGTGTACTGCCTGGACTCATTTTGGCCACACGACCAATTGCCTTTGGTTTAAGCTCTTTTTCTTTAAGTTGTTTTGGTTCTTTCTTTGGTGTTGTGATTGGGCTGGACCTTTTCTCCGTCGATGAATCTTTTTTCAATTTTTTCTCGATCGACTTGGGTGGTCGTGAATCGATGCGTGATTTAACAATGGGTTTCGTTTCAGATGCAATTTTATTATCTTTTTCACCTTCTTTTTCAATTGGTTTGCTAACTTTAACATCTTTTTCAATATCCGCTTTTGTTTCAACGTTACCATTAACGGCGCTCGTCTCTTTTTCCGTTGTTTTAATTACTTGCTTTGTCTCAGTCACCATTTTATTATCCTTCTCTTGTTGTGCAACAATGGTTTTTGTAACTTTGGACGGAAGGATTGGCTCGTGAGTTGATTTGTCGGCGAGGGCGGATTTAAGTTGTTTTTTCGATAAAATTGTTGATGAAAAACTGGCTTCGATTTGATTTGCTGTGCAAACCGGATGCTTGACAAATTCCAAATGTTTCATTTTATCCAAACCTTCCATAATTTTATAGTCGGGTGTACTACCCGGAAACAGAATACGTGTGATCGTCTCTTCCGGATTGGCCGGCTGCCATACGAGCATCGCACAAATTGACACAAGATTTTGCAATGGAAATTGAAACTCTTTCGATTGTTTGGTGGCAAATAAATTTTGATCACGTGCATTCCATTTGTGTAGAAATTCTTTCACCTCTTTTGACTCTTTCGATGGACTTATCACAAACATATCCAATGTACCGTGTCCCACTTTATGGTATAAATTGATTGGTTCAATATCTTTGTAGCATGGCTGTGGTTTTATATTAATTGATTTTAAATTTGATGTAATCGATTGACCGCGTTCGAATAAATTCACCAACAATGGATCACTATCTTTATCACTCTCCAAATTTGGTTCTGGTTTCGATTCAGGAATGTTTGTAAAGAAATATCCAATTTGTGGATAAACATTTGACATTGCCTTGCGTTCAATTATCGAACTAATGCCTTGAATATTTGCATTGTTGATGCGTGTCATGAGCACAGCATCCAAACGATCCAAATGACGTGTAAAGTCCCAGAAACATGATTTACGATTGAAACCACCATCAACTGAAATTGGATTTTTTTTTTTTTTTTTGGTTAAATATTTTATTATTTGTTTCTGTCATGGTTGAAGGTTTCATTTCTCACAACTTACCCAACATGTTAAATCCATTGATACCGAATAGCGCAGCATCTCCCTGTCCGCCCGGGAAGACGTACAGTGTTGGATGGCTGAATCGAATATTGCCTACAACATCGGAGCTCTCCATCAAATCATGCAAATTGGCTGGCATAATCAATGGTGACAAATAATCTAAAGCAAAATGAATGGAAAATGGTTCATTTGTTAAGCACATAAATATTGTATGCATAATATACAAAAGCTTCTAAATAATACTCACTGATAAATGCATTAAGTCGTTCACTTCCCGAGTCAAGAATGTCAACTGAATTGATGCGAATTTTACAGAGTTTCGCATACGATTTATCGGGCAATTTATTCCAATGTCCAGATGCAGCACAATGTATTTCCATCGATATGGTATCTGGATATGCTCGCATAACGCGTTGCACCTCATAGTCTTGTATAGCCTCGACAAAATCGGATACCGAAAATGTTGCATCCTAAGAAATGTAAAGACAGAGAACACAAACCATTCAACAATCTCATACATATTGAACGATCCGTTGAGGAAAAATGGCCATATAAATTATTCAATTGACTCAAACATACTTGCAAAATCCATGAACCATTTCCAGAGAATGTGTAACCGGAATGTATAATATGTCTATGCCTTGTAAAACTACTCAATAAATTTCGCATGCACTGAATCAACGTATTGTATTGGGGATGAATCAATATTTCCGTTACCAAATTTTCGCTAGCAAATTGAATCAAACGCTCGCCTGTAATTTTTTTTTTTTTAGAAAAGAATGATGCCAAAAATCGTTTATCACAACAATGATAAAAAGAATTTTTTCACATGAGCTGAATATAAATCGTCTTTACACATAATGTATATTGCACTGCTGAAGAGTGTTTACAACAACAACAACAGCAGCCGCAGTTACATTATTCAAGCGAATGAAAAGAAATTGATTAATAATTACCATGGCGAGTGGCTTCACCTTCAGGAGCATGATTCGTTAAACTGTTCAGCTCCTCTTCCAAATCAACATGGCATTCCAGCACGTTCCACGATAACAAACCTACAAATGAAGACGAACATGAACATAAATCGCAGCCCAAGTCAAAACAAACAAAAAAAAAAAAAACCAGAGAAAATTTTGAATATATTTTCAATGTTTAAGTAAAAATTATTTTGCAATCGCACGACTTCGCATCGCTATTTCATTTTTCATGTCATCAGCTTAACCATCGGTTGCATCACCGTCACGTAAATGCGAAAATTATTGAAAATTAATGCAGTTTTTATTCGAATGACTGTGAGAAAGATGTTGTTATCCGCACAGCAAATGAATTTTCGGACAATGTGTCATTAAAAACACATTTCAAGACAGTGTTGATGTTACATTTCATTTACTAGGTCGTAAATATGCATGTTTGCCAGACACACACACATACACACAAAATAGTAAATTAAAATCTGTTTACCGAATGAAAATGAATTTTTTGTGTGTACTTTGACGCAGGATATCGATTTTTCGTGCGCATGACGTGGGTATTTCACAATAGAGTACCCAAAAATCAACCGAAAAAAGTAGAAAAAAGAAATATTAGAAAAGAACTAGGTAACGAACAAAAGCGAAAAAATACACATCCACGTCGAACTACAAAATATATTTCAACATGGTTCGTGCCGGTCACACCTAAAATGGGCTAGATGTTTTTCGTTGTTCGATTCAGCCGACCGAACGTTTGTTCCGTCGCTCGTAAATACCACTTCAACTCAATTTACTTCGAACAGGAAAAAAACCCAAACACTCATACAAATTTTCGACTTTCTACGAATGTCCTTTATATTTGTCATGAGACCACCTCGTAAAATGATTTATAACCTGCAGACATTCATTTGTTGGTGCGATCGTATACCGTGCTCTTTCTCATTGCATCTCTTCTGGCCAAAAGCATGTACAAAAATAATAACTTAAATTTCAAGCGATTGTCAATGATAAGCCTTCGGATACGTGGCAAACGTAGAACATAGTTCATTTTATATGCTGCACGCTCGATCGATACGACTTTGGAATTTCGTTTCTTGACGCAAATCAATTATTTTCTACATTAAATTTTCAACTCGTTTAACAAATAGACACCAAACCATTTATATTTATCGTATTTGGTCAAAGCGCACCGTTTGTTTGTGTCTATGTATTACATAGAAACGAACGTCAATCGAACACAGCATTTTAATACTGCAAATAAATAACACACTTATGCATATTTACATGTAGTCAATAGTGTTCATTAAATAGAAAATAATTTTGTGCCAAACGCCCCATATGTTTCTATAAATACGACGACAAATAATATTGCATTCGACACAAAATGTAAGTACAATGATTGTGAATATATAAAAAAAAGAGAGAATATAATAATAATGCTGTAGCTAAAGCAATTCATGATAAAATAATGAATGTGATTCGCTCATAAAAAGCGATTCGCTATATTCTCTGCGATATAAATATAACAGTCAACACGATTCAAAAACGGCATATACAATGCGCAAACATGACACCATATATCCAGCACATATATATATTTAGTTGTATACAGTACACACAGGGCAGGAAAAAGTACAGTTTCATTCTCAATGAAATTGATCACAGCAGCTATGTACTTTAGATGTACTGTATTTAGTTCTTGTGCTGTAAAAATTTCTCTTTTTTTCACCCCATCTTTAGGGCTTTCATTTGTTCCACTATTTTTCTTTTTTTGTGTACGAAAATAACAAAACAGTTGAAAATTTATCCTCTTCATTTACATGACATTGGAATGTATTGGAAATGCGAAATCAAACGCACTGCTCATAAATGCCCTAGAATTTACATTTCGTGCCTCTTTTTTTCCATTCACACAGTCTATGAAGGGAAAACCAGTCGATAAATTTTATGTTTTTTTAAGCTACAGATTAAAGTGTACGGGTAATTAAACTTATATAAGCGCACAGGGAAAAATGGTTGTAGCCTGACTGTAAGCAATAAATTAAATGCCACAAGCACTTGAATTGATTCCAGCACACATATTTTCCTTTTGCATAATAATAATTCGCGCAAAACTTACAGGAAATCCACTATATTTTGCCTTTCGTTGTGTTAATTGTTATATATTTATGTTTGTAGAGTGAATGAGAGAGAGAGGGGGTTGAGAAACGAAAGAGCTGGAATGAGAGCGTGTATGTTCTTGAAGGAAGGTCATTTTGGTCGAAGAAAGAAAATCGTAAGTTTTGATTTGCTTGGCGAAAAAATTCGGTATTAGAAACAATCGCGGTCTTAAGTGTCTACACTTCTGCAAACGATGTGTGGCTATTAATAAAACCGAATGAGCTCTTCACTTCGATTATCATCAACATCACTTTGGCAAACAGAAATATGCACGGTGGTCGTGTTTCTCTTAGGTTTAATCACTTTATGACTTCAGTTTTAATCGATGCATGACATTCGATTTATACTACATATAATTAAAATTATTATTTAATCGCTTTCTGTCTATAATTAGTAATTATAACGATTTTGTATATGCAATCGAGAAGCGGTATCGGGGCGGAATGAGTCGATGTTATCAGTACGATAGAATTAAGCTGCGATATAATAACTATTGATTTTATACTTTCAGTATGAACACATTCAAACTGTTGTTCATGAAGAACGGATAGAGAGCAAACTAACATCCAGAAATACCATATTATGTAACTCGAATGAATATTGTTCTTAATAAGAGAGAACTTCTTATCCACAAAAAGTGCTCGCACATCCAAAGCATTTGTTCGATCGATGTAGAGAATGAAACGAAAGTAAAGAAAGTGGAACGAATCAAATGACGCAATGTTATCATAGAATCTAGATGTCAGTTAATATCCCATGGTTGGCAAATTGAATTTTACAACTTCATTTACATATCATTTCAAAGATTTTCAATAATTCTTCTTATTCATAAAATTCTTGCGAACAAAAGTTTAAGACTCCTTTAACCTCGATTCAATTGTGAGAAAGAATGAAGAGAAAAAAGAAACTTTGAACGATATTCATTTGAGAACACTTTCAATGGCTAAGATTACTTTTTACACATCAAACTCAGTATAAATTTGTGGTGCTTGCAAACACATGTATTTATGGTGCTGATGAGAACAAAAACACACACACACACACACGATCACCACAAAAATGAAGATAACTTCCACTTTATTTTCTTGTTCAAATAAATTTTCCTATTAAACTAATGTCATTGTATTCAATGAGTGCATAATTTCAGTTAGATGGTTTCTATGCGTCAGTAGTACAATAGTTGGACATATACAATTTTTGTGTGTGATAATTAATCCATTTGCTGTGTAACAATAGAAAAAATGGAACAATGAATTGATAAAAAGCGACAATAGAAGAAACTGACAGAATTACTAGACCGATTGGCCAATATATTGCACACAAGTTAAGCGTGCACGAAAGTCATAGAAGGTAATGAAAAAGTAACAATATATTCGGTAGACAAATGAGCTGTGAAAAAATAAATCTTTAATTAGTTTTTGCATTGAGGAGTGACGATTCGATTTAATTCGTTTCGTGTCACAATTTTCATGGTTATGCTCTGTTTGACATGCTTAATCACGTATGTTCAGGTTTATCGATTAAAATTAAGTGCAATTGATTTTCTCGCTCAATTCAATTTACTGCAAACTTTTTTCAATTTTTTTTTGCTTGCACTCTCTTTATGGCTGTTCACTTCAAGTTGATGTGCATCTTCTTATGTCGCCCGTGAGCAAAATTGTTAAATTGAAAGGAAATTCGAATATTGCATATTGCGCTAAAATGTCATGTTATTTTACATGTGACGATCGAATTTTCCACGTAATCCTCAAATCGAAAATGCAATCTGACGCTATCAAGCTGCCGAAATCAAAATGTGCAAATTATCGATCGGTGCATTATTAAGTTGATGCAACAATTATTCACCATTAAAGCGCAATATTTCAATTAGATTTCGAAGTGAGGAGAAATGAAGGACTACAGATGCATATATTAGCAAGTATTTATCCGCAATTCAAACGAACATACGGATGCCAGCAATGTTTTACGGTTCTTGTAAATGTAGATTACGTACAAGGCCGTCGGCAAAAAGCTGAAGTTTTCAATATTGAGTAAGGCTAATCGAAATGCAGGCAACGATATTTGCTTATTGTATGCATACAACCACTTCCATGGTGCACATTTTCCGTGTGCAGTGTATCGCTTCGTGTGCCTTTTTTCGTCATGATATTTTTCTAATTAGATCGCATTCATCGTTGTAATGGTGCTGTGTTTGACTATTTATTTGATTTGATGCTATACACAACTCTGCTAAAGTCAATGGTCTTTGCCTGTACCATCATAAATTGAGTGCATTCCATACACCACCATATATTTAAGAATGTGTATCGTGAAACAATTTCACTTTTTATATAAATTGTGTGCCTGCAGGCCAAAAATAAATGAAGCCTTTTTTTTCCGGCTTCGTTTCCAATGCATTTTTCTCCCTTTTTCATTTCTGTTCATTCTATCTGCAATCAAAATAGTGTATTTGTGCGGTGGGACATATGAAAAATGCAGAACCGCAAGATTGCATGTTTTGATAGCGTTATTTAAACATTTGCATAATAATGATGTTAATTCAGTCGGTCGCCGATCCTGAACAAATAAACACACACACATACCAAATATGTTCGAATGGAATGAAAATTCTTTTGTTTCCTTGCGAAACACGAAGTGCTAAAGATGTAATAAAATATATGTGGAGCATTGTTTTCGGATTAAACAGGCTACATTATGTCCCGACTATGGAAAATCCAGGAAAAATCGTTGAATCTTTGCCAATGGTACGAATATATGTCGTTATTCGTTTTTTATTCTTAATTGTACCACGTCCAAATCGCACTCATATTGCAACAAAATGTTCACATTTTGCATGCAACGAATTTTACTTGCCAAAACAAGCCACTTCCCCCAACTATGTACATATATATGCGCGCTGAACTCTTTTATTTGAGATTTCAATTTCATTCTCTTCTCTTCCTGCTTGCTCACCATGATTTAGACAATTTACGGAACATAAAAAAATATATGTACGGTATCCGTACGTGTGCAATGTCGAACGTAAAACGACGATGGCGAGAAAAAAGTACACATAAAAAAGTATGCAGACCGCTAATAAATAAATTGTGACATCGCCGTTTTATTGCCTGAGCTTTAAGCTCGTTGTGCTGAACTAAGCCAGAGCAAGAAAATACACAAAATGAAGCCGCCGAAACGTCTACACTTAGATTACAATCCATTAAAACATTATGACCGATACATCACACACATAAAGGTTATTATGGAATATATCTCTATCCGCAAGCGCGTTTCTGAAGACAGAAATACATTTCCATCGTATCGTTTAATAGACACGCGTGTAGATGATTTCATTTCGAATCATTTAAAAATTCATAAAATCATCACAACACATGCGAGATAGAAAATGAATATCCCTATCTCGTGTGAAAATGTGAAAATCAGTTATCGATTTCTCAATTGGATAATATTAACTTTGCAGCTAAAAGCATCTCAAGCATACCTCCGAACTCTCATGAAAATTTAATGCGATGCATATTCAACTCGCTTGGGTATTCATTTCATAAAAATTGAGATACATTTGAATGCCATTGTTGTTGAAATGCAACAGAAAAGATTTTTTAATGTTGTCCCAGACGGACATTAATTCAAAAGAAATATATGATTTTCATGTCAGATGATGACTACCTTGAATTGTTTCTAAAAATATCCTTTAATCATATGAATTTTGATTTAAAGTTTCGATATATAAATGACGACCTTATTCATAAAATTACTTTTGGAAAAACAAATCGGTCGAACATATTTTCCATGACGAACATTTTGAAGGGTTCATCTGATGGAAAACCCCACACACACACACACACATTCCATCACCAGTGGCATATACGAGATCGTCAATATATACTACATATCGTATGAAACAAATAGTTTGGTATGCGTAGCACTGAATGAATTTGGTGTGGTGAAAATCAATAGTTGGCTGACAATTAGTATGTAATTGTCATGGATAGCGAGCCATTGAACGCAACACTGGCGACGAATAAAAAAAAATCGAAGAAAAGCATTCAAGTCGGCCATATTGTTGAGGGTTTTATTTTAGCAAAAGAAAAACCGATACATTGTACCCTATGCTCGAATATGCTCGTGCGTTGAAGAAAAACGCGTCGCCGATAATAGAAAAAGTATCGGCTTTTTATGGTAAATGACGACATCATTAAATTGAATACCATCATGCCCATCATTACTGACATATCGTCAAATAATAAGACATTTCGTGAAATTTCTCAACTATCGCTGTAAAAAGAAATTTTATGTACAAAATCGTGGCTTATGTATATGTTTCAAATGCATATTTTCATAGAGATGATAACTTATGTGGGTAAGGTTATGACAGAAAATGATTGACGTATTTCTTTATAAAGGTTAATTTGTTATATTTTCGATAACAACAAAAAATGATGTCATTATAAATTTAATGGTGCAAATTACCTTTTAATAGGCGTTGCAATATGATATCCTTATGTTCGTGCGAATGTGGTTCGCCTAATATGATGAGCAAATAGCAACCGGTCAATGGACTAGGCGGCTCATAAGTGGCTGGAATATCATGTCTATTCGAAAATTCCTCAATCACTTGATCGGGCGTTTCCTGACTCGGTTTTTCTTCTGATGCCATGCTAATGCCGTATTCGGTTACTTCGAGCACTCAGCAAAAATTCTCTCTTCCTTTTCCTTTCCTAATTAAATTCGATCACACGCCAAAAAAGAAACGCGAACGTTATTTTTCCAATGCGAACTGGAAAAAAAAAACTCTTCACTTCCGTCGGAATAAATTTCGCGTTCTACTACACTTAAACAGCACACTGAAAACTTTCCGGAATGTGTCTAATGAATGTTGAGCGAGAAAATATAGATAAAAAGACTGGTTCTTGCTTAATGGAAAACGAATGCGTTATTTTCTCTTTCTTTTTTTTTTGTTCCTTTTCCTGTGCAAATGGCACAGCGAATGTGGTATGTTGAACGTTCGTCTTCGGTTTTTGGACTGACTGGAGGAAACTTGCGTGAGTTCTATTCAGTTCTGAAAATGGTAAATGGAAAACGAAATCGAACGTCTCACTTGGAATATATGTATTCTTTCGTTGACGATGATTTGGCCGCACCCGTTGACTTGGTTAGATCATACACACACCATCAAAACGAGTGTGTTCTGTTTTATTTATTTATGGTTTTATGTAATTTTCTTTCTCTATTTTTTTTTGCTTCTTTCCTTTCTCGTTCCCAACAATACTAAAAAGTTCCACACTGGTACGATGCGCAAACGCTACAACTGTCACACAGGGACCGCAATATACTCTAGAATTGATCTGCTAGGAAAAATGAAGCACACTCGACTTTTTCACACGCACAAAAATATAATCGACCACCTTCTATCTTTATTCTATTTCTTTTTTTCTTTCTTGTTTCAATCACTTTTCAACGTTGAAATTTCATCGATTTCTCTCCCAAATTTTCTTCAGATTTCCGTTCATGAATCGTTTTCTTTCTCTTTCGTTTTTTTTCTTCTTCGAAATAAATATATTCTTTACAAGAGAAAAACGTCAACTTTAGCAACTAACTTAGTTCAGAAAAAAATAATAAAAACTTGTTCGATTCTCAACGGAAAAGAAATATGCAGTTTTCAGGCAAAATGTTATTTTATCGATTTTTCAGCTTTGTAATTTTTTTTTTGGATGTCGTGTCGTATTAAGACGTTTTTCGTTTATTTTGTTGTTGTGTAAATGTAAAATGGAAAAAAAATCCGTAATTGGAGCTTGGTGTATAATGGAACGAATCAGTTGACAGTATTTTTTCTTCTTTTAGTTTCGAGTAAAATTTCTCTGAAGTAAATTTTTTCTTTCTTTGTAGTAAGATTTTGTCTTGTTCTTGTTTGACGGAGTTTAACACACAATATGACCGGCCTTAAAGACACCAGAGAGCCAAGTCAAGTGAATTGCTTCTTCCAATAGTGTCCAAAGTCCTACATTTCTGATTGAGCATATAAAAAAACTGCTGAAATGCGAAAGTTGAACATTTATTGACAATGCGCAATGCACAAAATCATTAAACTGGCAACTAGAAGTAGGGATATTTTAAGTTTTGTCAAAAGCACATATATACTCAGGGCTCAACTGACTCACACACTATTCATGCTGAAAATATTTCACACATACACTGGAAAACGTTTTTCTTCAATTTTATTTGATACATTGTGCAGCAAATTTGTTCAATTTATCATTTTTACTATGTGAAAAAGAGACATATTCAATTTGTCATACTAAATCATTATCTTTTTTAAACCATCTAATGATGAATCTTCAAATTTCAAGTGATTTGATAAAGCTCGTCTCATGTCTCATATTCCGGCCTCTTTTTGTACCAACATTTTTTTGACATAGACGATTTTCATACTCTTTATCTCTCTGTGTGTGTATGTGTTCATGTGTATGTATGAAATTTACGATTTCCCCTGTAAACATATTAACCGTATTTGTATGCTGCCCTACTCTAACTAGTCAAAAGTACGCAGACGTGTCCGTGCAATTTGAATGTTGCATTGGCTATAAGCATAGCACATGTATCGCATAAAATGAATATAGAAATGACAGAACTGTGCATTGCCACAAATACAAGCAATGTCAAGTCGCGCGACTCTCAACTTAACAGCTGAGTCGATACATGAAAGACAATTGCAATGGTATATGCTGCATGTGTGCAGCAGTTTATTTTTTAAATTTCAGTTTTATCTTCAGTTTTCCATCGCGACCGTTTCCATAGTTGTTGTTGTTTTTGCCCATCATCGTCTTCGTTGTCTACATTTGCCGGCTCCCCGCATTCTATGCACGTATAGCCATAGATCCATTTATTTCAACACGTACAAAATTCAACGCGAAAAATCAATTCTTTTGCTGTGTTGAAAACTTGTGTATCACAAAAAAAGAATATGGAAAAACTAACTAACTTCCGTAACAATTGTGTGGTTGAATTTAAGCAAAAATAGAAATTCTATTTTTATGAGAAATGTAACTACTCAAATATTCAATCCAATTTAATAATGGCACACATTGCCAGCGATTTGTGTATTCATTTTACCGAAACTGATGATGACCAAAAAAGTTGTAATGGTTTATGGTGAAAAACACCACCATTGGTGAAATGACCAAATATGGTAATGGTCATGATTTCAATTTTTTTACTGTCCTTTTTTTGCTCTTCAATTGCTGGCCGAAATTGAGCATAAAGTAATAAAATTTATGCGAAAAATTTATGAACTTTAATTGAGGTGATATGAAATCGTTTTGATCAATATTTATGAGGTATGAAATTGAATCAAATTCATTGGGTCATATTTTTCAAAAACATTGCCTAATGGCTGCAACTAATAAATTTGTCGCAGCAAGCATATTATATAGCTTTAAAATGAATGTTCGCCAATTTTTGTCTTCTGCTTCCTCGCTCTCTCACTCTCTCAATCTCTCTTATATGCTCCAGTCATTTTGGATTGTAAATGCGAAATTTGCAAGGCAAAAATAGACTAGTTGATATAAGAGTACAGCACAGCCTATTTCGGAAATGACATTTCCCCTGTAATAAAAAAATGACCGATGACACTGTATACTGCAGTCAAACAACGTTATTTATTTTCTCATTCTACATTTTGTAAAATCGTCGTAATGTCGCGCGGATTTTTCCGCAAATAATGATTTTCGTTGGTTAGATATTGCTGCAGTTGAATGTGTTGAATCGTAATGATCATCCATCAGCTGTGTGTCAACCATATGTTTATATAAATGACGGTGCAAATGTGCGCATGTGCACACACTTTGAAGAATGCCGGCTACAAAACCACATAATGTCTAGTACAGACGTACCTTCACATTGGTGTTTGTTTTCTTGGTGTTTCCCCTTACCTTCGCACACACTTACAATTTACAGTAAAAACTACGTCATCCAATCTTTATTCATTGACACGAATTGCGACGATATAAAACTGTATAACTTCAAAGAACCTTTTCACTCGTTTGATTCATATGCATAATTGGCAGACTAATTATAACACTTTGGACGAAAAGTGTATGTTTTCACACTTTTTACGCTGTGAATTTGCATGTTTCAATATCTGGATTAATTTGTTTAAAAGAAAGTCGTCTATTTGCCATGAAAATGAGGTTTCAAGTGTTACTTAATGGTTAAATGTTTTGCAGCTTCTTTTAATTACAATTTTCCATTAATTGGAATTGATTACGCGAGCCGCATTCATTAAGCCAATTAAAAGTATGTAGAAGAAAAAAACAATTTTGAAGTTGTTTGATCACATCGATAAAATGCTTTCGCTTCAATTCTCTGCGAACAACATCAAAGTGAAAGAGATAACAATGGTATCACACATTCAAGTGTAAGTGATGTGAGTGAGAGAAAATGTGGCGTGTTTATTTCGTATCAAAATCGAAATTGTTATGGGCTGTTTCATGTTCCTCTTTCATCTTTTCACTTCTTTGTAGTTATAAATGAGCGAATACAAACGGCATAAATGATTCTCCTTTTCTTTTATGTAGTTCAACAGTAACAGGGTAACATACATTGCAGCCAGTAAGGAGATCAATAATTTAATTTAATACAAAAACAAGCAGACCACACCAATGTCGTACGCATTTTTCTCGGTGTTTTTTTTTCTCTCGTTCCTTCTTACACTCACTGTTTGCACATCTTCTCCATACATACAATACTCTCCGAATCGAAGGAAGAGCGTGTGAAGCATCGACCGACGTACAATATGATGAAGAGAAACAGAAAAAAAACACGCGCAACACTCACAGTGTGAATATGAAAACACCAATGTAACACACACCGTAGCAATGCGACCACAATGAAAATGAACAAAGTGAAGTAAAAAAAAGAAGATAATAATTGCCCATTTTCTACATTGTAGAGAAATGTGAGTGATAAAGATAGAAAAGGTAACAATAGTAGAGAAAAAAATATGAAATTAAAGATGAAATTCCGAGTGAGAAAAAGGTGAAAGAATTTGAAAGAAAAATCGAGCAAAAATCACATACATACGAATGCCGATGAATGGGCTAAACCGTGCGAAAGAGAGAGTTTGTGAAATGATTTTGCCATAGACGAAAGCCGATTGCCATGAAATGAAGAAAGAAGATGAAAAACGAAGACGATGCATGCGATGAGAGTCACATAAAATTTAGCACGTATATGGTGAAAAAGACGCATCGCGCGCGTCATATTCTTCAAACTTGTAGTAGTAGCAGGCAATTGTCTTGTTTCGTGTTTTCAAGAGAAAAAAAGCAGGGAGAATCGACAACAATAAAAGTTCTGTATGTGTCGCCTGAGCGAACGAACAAACGAACGGCACAAAATGGAAAATGAACGCAATGGAATATGGCTTCAAAAAAGGGAAAAAAAAGACAAGCAAGCAAGAGCAATGTAATCTGCGGCTACAAAACGAAAATTCACAAACATCGACATCGTTGTTATTGGTGCTGCTGCTGTTACTGCTGCCTGGCAGCAGCATTCTTTGGTCATATTTTGGATTCCACACCGGAATGCAGAATGAAAAGAATTTTCATTCTTAGTTCTCGCTCACACATTCTCGCTATCTCCGCTTAACATATACGACATCGAAAACATGAACACCGAGTAGAAAATCATTCCAAACATTTTCGAAAAATTGCTCATCCCAAACCTCAACGCACCGCACTGGAGACACACAAACATGACATGCGCACTCCAAGTATGCAGCAGTTAACTAAACAAACGAACTAAATTCGTTCGCTGTTTGCCTATTTAAAGGTGCAATCTTGCCGTTGCAAAGCGTACGACCAAAGTTTCATCTACTAGAAAGGTGTGCCGATTTTTTTTGAAATTATTTGATTTTTGGTAATGAATTTAAGAAAATTCACGTATGAAATTGCACAAAGGTGATATTGATATTCCTACAGGTGTGATTTCCACCTGTATTGTTGTACCATATTGCTCTACTTTTGCCAGGCCAGCAGAAAACGAAAGAGTACCAACAATACACAACAAAACAACAACGGCAGAATTCAGTGTTTGCGCACCAAAACAAAATACCATGCCATGCACACAATATGAGGCGAACGAAGGGAAAAAACAGATATCGACAAAAGAGAGAGAACCAAATAACCATCGCACAGTCGCAATACCAATGCCAATGAAAGCATTACACGAGTAGGTGATACAGAAAAATGCCAGCAGACAACCATTTACAACCGAACACAGGCAGCCCACAAATAAAACGGTTTACCAATGTAACAGAGTCAAACGAAAGAGAAGAACACGATCAACCAACAAACAAAGGTGTTTTTTCGTATTCTTTTTCTCCTCTGTCTGATGGGCTGCGCGCCCATACCAAAACAGCTGTTTATACTGGAAACAATTTTTATTACATAGACAACATCGCATCCACTCCGGTTCTCTTTCGGTGTGCTTTTTTATTTCGTGTATTGAGCTTCATCGAGTACACTTTCACATATCGTATGCTTACCTGCTCTCGATAAAGGTACTATTGTGCTCTGCACGCACATAATTCCATTGCACAACCGAAACACACGAAAAAGTGTAGCACGACAAAGCGTGTCAATCGGGTATCGTGCTATGAATGAAATACATGCAAAAACAGAGAGAACACGAACAACCGAAGACACGAGATAAAGAAGAAGAAATGACAATCGCTTGGTTCAAGTAACAACACTGAAGAAAACGAAGAAGATGTGATAAAAAGGAGGTACAAAAGTAGATATTCTTCTTCTTAGAGAACATGCAGATTTACTTTTCCAAATATTCGATTTTCCCCAGGATAATATAACAGGCATACAATATGTAGCTGCGTACTAAGAAAACCAAAAACCGGTTGTCAAACGTCTCCTGAAAACCTATCATTCGGTTCTTAGAAATTTTCAATTATTTCCTCGCATCGT